AAAAATCTCAAACAATCTAACCTCACACCTAAAGGAACTAGAAAAAGAACAACAAACAAAGCCCAAGGTCACAGAACGAAAGAACAAATAAATATCAGAGCAGAAACAAATGAAACAGACTTTAAAAACCGGTAGAAAATAGAATTAGAATAGAAAAAATGAACAAAATTATGAGGTTATTTAAAAAGAACAAAAACCTACAGCCAGGTACACCAAGAAAAAAAGAGAGGACTCAAAAAAATAAAGTCCGAAATTAAAGAGAAGTTTCAACTGACACAACAGAAATACAAAGACTCATAAGAGACTATTATTAAAAATTATATGCTAAAAACTTGTATGACCTAGAAGAAATGGATAAATTCCTAGAAACATACACTCTTCCAAGATTGAATCAGGAAGAAATAGAAAATCTGAACAGATCAATTACTAGAAATGAAATTGAATTAGTAATCAAAAAATGCCCAACAAACAGATGTCTTCACAGGTGAATTCTATCAAACATTCAAAGAAGAGTTCATACCTATCTTTCTCCCAACTATTACAAAATTATTTAAGAGGAAGGACAAATGGGGCACCTGGGTGGCTCAGTTGGTTAAGCGACTGCCTTTGGCTCAGGGCATGATCCTGGAGTCCTGGGATCAAGTCCCACATCGGGCTCCCTGCTCAGCGGGGAGTCTGCTTCTTCCACTGACACTCCCCCCTCTCATGCTCTCTCTGTCTCATTCTTTCTCTCTCAAATAAATAAAATCTTTAAAAAAAAAAACAAAGAGGAAGGACAAATTCATTCTGTGAGGTGAGGCCAGCATGACCCTGATATATTCCAGGGATGCAAGAATGGTTCAATATTCGCAAATCAATGTGATATGGCACATTAACAAAATGAAGGATAAAAATCATATGACCATCTCAACAGATGCAGAAAAAACATTTGTCAAAAGGCAACATCCATTCATGATTAAAACTATTAACAAAGTGAGTATAGAGGGCACATACTTCAACATAATAAAGGCCATATATGAGAAAGCTACAGCTAACATCATACTCAATGGTGAAATACTGAAAGCTTTTATTCTAAGATTAGAAACAAGACTAGAATGCCTACTTTCACCACTTTTATTCAACATAGCATTGGAAGACCTAACCAAAGCAATTAGAGAGGAAAAAGAAAAGGCATCCAAGTTGGGAAGGAAGAAGTAAAACTTGTCACTATTTGCAAATGACAACATATTATGTATAGTCAACCCTAAAGAATTCACCAAAAACTATTAGAACTAATATGTGAATTCAGTAAAGTTGCAGAATACAAAATTAATATACAGAAATCAGTTGTTTCTATACTAATACCAAAGTAGCAGAAAGAGAAATTAAGAAAACAATCTCATTTACAATTGCATTAAAACCAATAAAAATACCTAGGAAGTAATTTAACCACAGAGGTGAAACACCTGTATTCTGAAAACTATAAGGCATTAATGAAAGAAATTGAAGACGTCACAAATAAATGGGAAGATATACCATGCTCATGGATTAGAGAACAAATAATACTGTTAAAATTTCCATACTACCTGAAGTAATCTACAGATTCAATGCAATCCTTACCAAAAATGCCAACAGCATTTTTCACTTAATTAGAACAAAGAATACTAAAATTTGTTTGAACCACAAAAGACCCCAAATAGCCAAAGCAACCTTGAGAAAGAAGAACAAACCTGGAGGTATCATACTCCCAGATTTCCAACTTAACCACAAAGCTATAGTTATCAAAAGAGTATAGTGCTGGCACAAAAACTAACGTGGAGATCAACAGAACAGAACAGAACAGAGAGCCCAGAAATAAACTCATGCTTATATGGTAAAGTCATCTACTACAAAGGGGGAAACATTATACAATGGGGAAAAGACAGTCTCTTTAATAAATGGTGCTGAAAAAACTGAACAGCTACATACTAAAGAAACTGGACCACTTTCTCATACTATATACAAAAATAAACTCAGAATGAATTAAAGACCTAAATCTAAGACCTGAAACCATAAAACTCCTAAAATAAAACAATGGTAATAAACTCCTGGACATCAGTCTTAGAAATATATTTTTGGACTGTCTCTTCAGGCAAGGACAACAAAAACAAAAATAAACAATTGGAGAAAAAAAACCACAATTCGATCTACATCAAACTAAAAAGTTTTTGCACAGTGAAGGAAACCATCAATAAAGCAAAAAAGCAGCCTACTGAATAGGAGAAAATATTTGCAAATGATATATCCAAAATATATTTGGATACTAGTTAATACTCAAAATATATAAAGAACTCCTACAACTCAACAACAAAATAAAGAATCCAATTAAAAAATGGGAAGAAAAAAAAAAAAAGCCTGGGGAAAGTACCTTGGACAGCAGCAGAGAGCACACAAACCAAAGAAGCAAGCAAATTGAGAAACTAGAAGTAGATCCTAGCAAGCATTCCTTCCCTGATGTGGCTAACATAGTTCAAGAGAAAAAACACAGGCCCCGAAGAGTTCAATCTGAACCCAAAATTTCAGCAAGTGAGGAAGATCCCAACTTTGAAGATAACCATGAAGTGCCTCCATTGATTTGAAACATCAGGCTGCATCGATGGACCCACCAGACCCAGTTCTGTTCATTGCAGAGTGTGTGCAGACCATTTATGGTAAACACAGAGTTATTTATCAATGTTACTACTCCAGTGTTTTAGCTTCTACTTTACACAGTAATATTCTTAAACTAGTTTAAAATTCAAATGTACACCTTAAAATGCTATAACTCATTTGTCTATAATAAAATGCTTCTAGAGCAAAAAAAAAAAAAAAAAAAGGGAAGTGGACCTGAACAGATATTTTTCCAAGGAAGATATACTGATGGCCAAAAGGTACATGAAAAATTGCTCAACTTCACTAATCATCAGGGAAATGCAAATCAAAACCACGAGATATCACCTTACAACAGTCATAATGGCTTGTATCAAAAACACAAGAAATAACAAGTGTTGGCAAGGATGTGGAGAAAGGGAAACCTCATGCACTGTTGGTGGGAATATAAATCGGTGCAGTCACTCTGGGAAACACATGGAGGTTTCTCAAAAAATTAAAAATAGAACTACCATATGATCCTGCAACTCCACTTCTGGGCATTTACCTAAAGAAAACGAAAACACGAATTCCAAAAGATATATGCACACCTATGTTCACTGTAGCATTATTTACAACACCCAAGATATGGAGGAAACCTAGGTGTTCACTGATAGATAAATGGATAAAGATGTGGTACAAATACACAGTGAAATATTACTCAGATGTAAAAGAGAATGAAATTCTGCCATTTGTGACAACATGAAGGAACATTGAGGGTATTATGCTAAGTGAAATAACTCAGAGAAAGACAATCACTGCTGATTTCACTTTTACATGAAATCTAAAAACAAAACAAATGAACAAACAAAACAGAGACTCATAAAAGAAAGAACTGGTGTGGCTGCCACCATGGGAGGGAGGTGGGCGGTGGTGGGCAAAACGGGTGAAGGTGGTCAAAAGGTACAAATTTCCAGTTAAAAAAATATATAAAGAACCAGAAAAATGTGACTCTAGAGACATGCCAATCCTTACATGACCCAGATGCTGAATTTTTACGTTATGTTCCCTGAGGTAAATACAAATGAATGCAAATGGAAAGATAAAAATGGCAAAGAAAAAATGGCAAACAATTGGAGAAAAAAAACCACAATTCGATCTATATCAAACTAAAAAGTTTTTGCACAGTGAAGGAAACCATCAATAAAGCAAAAAAGCAGCCTACTGAATAGGAGAAAATATTTGCAAATGATATATCCAAAATATATTTGGATACTAGTTAATATTCAAAATATATAAAGAACTCATACAACTCAACAACAAAATAAAGAATCCAATTAAATTCTTTTTAAGAATTTAAAAGAATTCTTTAATTCTTTTATTAATTATAATAATTAATTATATTATTTTTTTATAATAATAAAAAATTAAAATATAAAATAGGTCAGTGGTTACTAGCAGGGTGTGGGGGTACTAGGGGCAGGGAGGGATAACTACAAAGGAGTATAAGGTAATTTTTGGGGTGCTAAAATTATTCTTTATTGGGATTATGGTGGTGATTATAAGACTATATGCATTTTTCAAAACAGGATGAAATTTACTCTATGTAAGTTACACATATAGTAATGTATCTGTTGATATGAAACAAAGTACACCCTACCACCTAGATAATGTCCTTGATAAAAATATTCAACCTGAAAAAATCCTTAGGAAACAATCAAGCAAATCCAGAATATGACATACTCCATAAAACTGCTGGCCTGGAATCTTCAAAGAAAAGTCTCACAAAAAATGGCTGACTGCACTAGATAAAAAGATACAAATATCAAGTATAATGCATGAATTCTATCTAGTTACTTGATCAGAAAATAAAACAAGCAATAAAAGATTTCAGGACAATGGGGCACCTGGGTGTCTCAGTCGGTTAAGAATCTGACTCTCAGTTTCACCTCAATCGCTATGGCAGGCCCCATGCTCAGCAGGGAGTCAGCTTGAGAGTCTCTGCCTCTCCCTCTCCCGCTCACACTTGGCACGCACACTTTCTTTCTCTCAAATAAATAAAATCTTAAAAAAAAAAATCTTAAGACCCAGTTGGGAAAGTGAATGCAGACAGTATATTAAGTTAAATTATTCAATTAGCATTAATTTCCTAATATGATAACGATGTGGCAAATATCCTTATGCTTAGGAGACACAAAGTCCTAAAATTAAGCACTGATAATACTAAAGAAGTATTTAGGGGTGCTGAGTCATGATTTTTGCAAGTTAGTTTCAAATGGTCCAGGTAAAACTATGTGGGGGGAGGGGGAGTAGAGAAGAAATTAAGCAAATGTGGCAAAATGCTAATAACTAGTGAATCTAAATTAAGAAAAACAGAAATCACATTACTCTGAAATCAAAAGCTATATAGTTACCTCCTTTATAATCTGAAATCTTGTAAGAACCTCTTCTTCGACACCTTTAATTTTACTCAAAGCAGTTTCATGTCTGAAAAGTAGTTGTTCTCTTTCAACTAAAAAACATTCCCGCTTTTGAAGTTCTTCAGCAAACTCCTGTTGTGCTGCAGTTTCACACTGTATTAAAATGTCAGATTCAAGTGTTTTTAGAAAATACATTCACAAATTCTACAAATTACACTTTATTTACTGAGGTTTTAGCTTAATCAAATGGTGTTTAGGACTACATGTGTATAAGTAAAATCTGGATTACAGTAACAGCTAGACTACCACAGCAAGTAAGCTTGCACAGAAATTCTATCTTGTTACAAAATGACGTGACACCATAGTGAGATTCCACTATGAAGACTCTAGAGAATTTGGGGTCCAAAATGCATCTGTACTATGTGCAATAATCCCCTATCCAGCTTCAATTCCATGCTCCACTTCAACTTCACCGTCTGTTCTTTTCCCTATACTCTCCACCCCCTCCCCTCCCTGTCCTTCACTTGGGCTAAAAGACCCCAGCCCTGCATTATTAGCACTAACCCCAATGCCACACTGCTCGATACCAATGGAGAAAACACACCAGAAAAAGTTGTACTATTGTAAATTCAGGGAACCTCTACCAGATTCTCAATGCAGTCCAGAAAGTGTTTTTTATTTTCATGGTTCGTTCTCTGTCTCCTACTCTCCACAGTGCCTATATTTCAACCCTTCTCCATTCTTTATTTTGAACACCTCACCTCCTACATGATTCTGTGCAGACAGCCTTGGTCTCTAACTTCACAGGAAAAATAGAAGACAGCAGAAGGAAACACCAACCTCCTGCCCTCAAAACACACAGGTCTCTCCTTCCCCCCCATTACAAAGGCAGACTCAGGATCTCATTGCCTTCTGCCTTCTTTGGACACTGCTGTGCTGAAATCCCTCTAATATTTTTAAAATCTCCAATCTCATCTGAAATGGAGTTGCTCTTGACCACACCCACTAAGTGCCTTCCTTTCACAAAATTCTTTAACACTTTGTCTACACCTGCTGAGCCCTCTTTATTTCCCAATCACTCCTCAATTTACTTCAATCGGGCCTCCGCCAGCATCCCCCTACTACATCTGAAGGTCACTTTCAGTCCTAATTTTATTGAGTCTCTCAACAGCATTTTATACGATAGGCCCTTTCTTCCAATTTAAAATAATCTTTCTTTGGACTCCAAGACACCACATTCTCTTGGTTTTCCACCTCACTCTCTGGCCACATTTTCTCAACATCCTTTGCGGGCTCTGCTTCCTTTACTGTCATTTAACTACTAATGTTCCTCAGGATTTGGGCTTAAGTCACTTCCCTTCACATCTTCTCATTCTCTCTGCTTACTTCCCTCCACTCAATGGCTAAATTACTATGTATATGCTAACTGATCCCAACCTACAATTGCTCAGCTCTTTCTCCTAAGCTCCAAACTCAAGTCCAAACTTCCTACTGAATATCCTCACCTGTATGCTTTCAGCTAGCACAAAATAAACATGTCCAAACTGAATTCAACTAGCCATCAGGGACATGCAAGTCAAAACCACAATGAGGTGTCACTTCACACCCACTAGGATGGCAAGAATCAAAAAGACAGACAACAAATGTTGTCAATGACATGAAGGAACTGGAACCCTCGTACGTTATTGGTGAGAATGTAAAATGGTGCAGTCATATTGGAAAATGGTCTTAAAAATTCCTCAAAGTTAAACAAAGAACTACCATATGACCCAGCAATTCCACTCCTTCATATACACCGAAAAGAAATGAAAGTATATATCCAAACAAAACCTAAACATGAGTGTTCATAGCAGCATTAGTCATAATAGCCAAAAAGTGGAAACCCACATGTCCATCAACTGATGGAAAAAAAGGAAAATGTGGTATATCTATATAATGGATTATTCAGTTATAAAAAGGAATAAAATTCTGATACATGCTGCAACATGGATGAACCTTGAAAATATCATGCTAAGTGAGAGAAGCCAGACACTTCATACACACTACCTATGATTCCATTTATATGAAAAGTCCAGAATAAGCTAATCTATAGCCAGAAAATAGACTGATAGTTGCCTAGGGCTGAGGGGAGATAGGTGGGGTGGGAGGTTAATGAGGAGAGATATCTAATAAGTAGGGGGTTTCTTACTGGGATAATGAAAATACTCTAAAATTGGTTGTGATGATGGTAGCATAACTCTTCAAATATTCTAAAAATAACTGTACACTTTAAAAAAATTAAAAAGAGGCCCTTCCAACATTGATGACACAGCAAAAAGATGGCTGTCTATGAACCAGAAGGTGGGCTTCCAATAGACAATGAATCTGCCAGAGCCTTGATCTTGCACTTCCTAGTTCTGGAACTATATCATGCAGGTTCACTATCTCCTTCAGTGCTCAGCAGGCCACTGTGAAGATACATCACATTTTCCCTTTTTTGGAGATGGCTCAAGATGTATGGAAGTGTTGAATCACTATATTGTACACCTGAAACTAATATAACACTATGTTAACTAGCTGGAATTAAAATAAAAACCTAAAAAAAAAGAAAAGATTCAGTAGACCTTTCTTCTGACCATCATTTCTGAATGTGGAAGCTTTTTGTATGGGACCAAGCCTCTACTCTGAAAAAGGAACAAGACACCTGCCTTCACCCATCTCAGTGCCAGCAGTTCCTGAGGCAGATATACACAGCCTTGAAAGAAATGAATTCTAATGCAATCATTAACAGATTCCCCACCACTGGTCAACTGTTAACAAAAACTTGCTGGAATTCTCTTATCTCAGCATATGATGAAAGCCAGAAAGTTCTACTATCATGCTTATATTGTTTAACAAAGAACCCTAGAATTCCAGAGAATTGAAACTTAACTCCTGGACACAGGGTTGTCATCTCATATACTTTCAACATTCAAATTTGATATAAAAGAAACTGGTCTGTTTGCTCAAAGTCTTGGGTATGCACCTATAGATTACTATCCTGGTTCGCTTAAAAATATGGTCTTATCATTACTGTCTAAACTCAGAATCATCTTAATGGATTTAACACTCAAAGGCAAAAAATGCAAACTACAACATCAGTGAGATAGCTATCATATTATGGGGGAAAGACAACTCCAGGATGTTGCTGATGGGAACGTAAATAGGCACGGTAACTTGGGACAATAATTTGGTAGCAACCTGCTACTACTACTTCTTACAGGTTAAGGACACTTAAACAGAGCTGTTTGTAAAATATAAACTCCATCCTGTATATTTATATAGAAATAAATAAATAGGGATGCCTGGGTGGCTCAGTCAGTTAAGAGTCTGCTTTCAGCTCAGGTCTTGATCCCAGGGTCCTGGGATCAAGCCCTGTATCAGATTCCCTGCTGAGGGAGGCTGCTTCTCCCTCCCCCTCTGCCCTCCCACCCCTGTCATGCACTCTCTCTCTCTCAAATAAATAAATAAAATCCTAAAAAAAAAAAAGAAAGAAAAAAATAGTGGTTTATTTAGAGGCAGTAAATATGAATGAACTAGAACTACATTTTCCAAACATATAAATCTCAAAAATATAACAAAGAATGAAGCAAGGAAGTTGCAAAAAGAAATTCACAGTATGTCATTACTTATGTAACATTTTAAAACATTCAAAACAATACATATATATGAATATATAAAAGTGTTAAAACAGGACATAATGGATCCACACTAATTTCAAGAGAGTGCTGAATCTTTGGGAAAAGGAAGAGGTTATGGGATGGAGGAAGGCTGTTTCAACTCTAATCGAAACATTTATTTCCTTTAAAAATATCAAACAGAATTATTAATAAAATGTTAGCATTATGCAATATAGGCAATGGGTTGATCCATCAAAATCCTAAAGGAGAACACAGGCAACAACCTCTTTGACCTCAGCCGAAGCAACTTCTTCCTAGAAACATCGCCAAAGGCAAGGGAAGCAAGGGCAAAAATGAACTATTGGGACTTCATCAAGATAAAAAGCTTTTGCAAAGCAAAGGAAACAGTTAAGAAAACCAAAAGACAACCGACAGAATGGGAGAAGATATTTGCAAATGACATATCAGATAAAGGGCTAGTATCCAAAATCTATAAAGAACTCATCAAACTCAACACCCAAAGAACAAAGAATCCAATTAAGAAATGGGCAGAAGACATGAACAGACATTTTTCCAAAGAAGACATCCAAATGGCCAACAGACACATGAAAAAGTGCTCAATATCGCTCGGCATCAGGGAAATCCAAATCAAAACCTCAATGAGATATCACCTCACACCAGTCAGAATGGCTAAAATTAACAAGTCAGGAAACGACAGATGTTGGCGGGGATGCGGAGAAAGGGGAACCCTCCTACACTGTTGGTGGGAATGCAAACTGGTGCAGCCACTCTGGAAAACTGTATGGAGGTTCCTCAAAAAGTTGAAAATAGAGCTACCATATGATCCAGCAATTGCACTACTGGGTATTTACCCCAAAGATACAAAAGTAGGGATCCGAAGGGGTACGTGCACCCCGATGTTTATAGCAGCAATGTCCACAATAGCCAAACTGTGGAAAGAGCCAAGATGTCCATCGACGGATGAATGGATAAAGAAGATGTGGTATATATATATACAATGGAATATTATGCAGCCATCAAAAGGAATGAGATCTTGCCATTTGCAACGACGTGGATGGAACTGGAGGGTATTATGTTGAGTGAAATAAGTCAAACAGAGAAAGACATGTATCATATGATCTCACTGATATGAGGAATTCTTAATCGCAGGAAACAAACTGAGTGTTGTTGGAGTGGGGGGTGGGGTGGGAGGGATGGGGGGACTGGGTGATAGACACTGGGGAGTGTATGTGCTCTGGTAAGCGCTGTGAATTGTGCAAGACTGTTGAATCTCAGATCTGTACCTCTGAAACAAATAATGCAATATATGTTAAGAAAAAAAAAAAAGAAGAAGAAGAAGAAGAAGGTAGCGGGAGGGGAAGAATGAAGCGGGGGAAATCGGAGGGGTAGACGAACCATGAGAGACGATGGACTCTGAAAAACAAACAGGGTTCTAGAGGGGAGGGGGGTGGGAGGATGGGTTAGCCTGGTGGTGGGTATTTAGGAGGGCACATTCTGCATGGAGCACTGGGTGTTGTGCACAAACAATGAATCATGGAACACTTCATCTAAAACTAATGTTGTAATGTAAGGGGATTAACATAAGAATAAAAAAATTAAAAAAAAAATATGGGCAATGGGTTGATATTATAATATTACCTGTTTTTCTGTATGTCATATATATTTTATAAACTTTTAAAAACCAAAACACTGTTACCTAGAAAAATACTGCAAATGAAAAGATAATATTCATGATAAAGGAATTATTTCCTACACAAAAATTAAAGGTATAAATTTCAAAAAAACAATCTTCTCCCTCCAGTTTTGTTCCCTATCTCAGCAAAAAGTAGAATCATTTATCCAACAGCCAAAAGAATAAACCTGCATTTCATCTTTGACTAAAACCCTACTGCACACCTCCCACATCAAAACAATCTCCAAGACCTACTGGATCCATCTTTTAAAAATGTTTAGAATCCATCCACTTCTCTTTATCCCTAAGGCCCTCATTCTAACCCAAGACACCATGAGGATACCACATCTCTTCACACTCTGCCGTCTCCCTAGATCTCACCTACTGGTGACAGCTTTAAATATCTATATGTAAATGACTCCCAATTTAGATGCCCATCCAAGACGTATGTTCTAAACGCCAAGCTGATACATTTACTTACATGAGGTCTCCATTAAAGTCTCAAACCTAATCCATTCCAAACTAAAATCTTGATCTTTCTCCCCTATATTCATTCTTCCAAGCTGTACAAACCAGAAATGTGGAAATTATCCTAGACACCTATTCTCCCTATACCACATCGAACTCATCACACCAAGTTTAGCCCATTTTACCTCCAAAAGCAATCTCAAATCTATTCAATTCCACTTCTCTGCCACCCCCCAGTCCAACTTACCATCACCTCTCACCTGTACTATTACAGTAGGATATCCTACCCGGTCTCCCAACTTCCATACCTATGCCCCTCCAACCCACTGATTTAAGCATACATTAGATTGGGGCACCTGGGTGGCTCAGTCATTAAACTGGGTGGTTCAGTCTGCCTTCGGCTCAGGTCATGATCCCAGGGTCCTGGGATCGAGCCCCACATCAGGCTCCCTGCTCCACGGGAAGCCTGCTTTTCCCTCTCCCACTCCCCCTCTGCTTGTGTTCCTGCTCTTGCGGTCTCTCTCTCTCTGTCAAATAATAAATAAATAAATAAATAAATAAATAAATAAATAAATAAATAAATAAATAAATAAATAAAATCTTAAAAAAAAAAGGGGCATATATTAGATTAAGCAACTCCCCTGCTCTAAAAATCCTCATTTACTTACTACATTTTCCTTGAATGAATATATCATCATGCTTCTGGGGCTTCTCTAACTAGACCATCACAGTCTAGTAGGGCTAATCCCCTACTCTTCCTCCAGGGTATAAGTTAAATGATACTTTCTCAGAAAACCTTACCAATCTATCCTAATCAGGTTTCATATTATACCTGAATTATTCACTTAAATTTATAAAATTGTAACTATATGAGTACTCACAATTGACTCTAATAAGCTATGTGTGGCAAGAACCATATATATTTTATCTTCTTCTATATATTCAACACTAAGCATGCAAAGGCATTATTAACAAGTGTTCAAACATATGCTGAATGAATGAAATTGCAAAATTTGACAAAATGTATATACTTAATGATGACCAACATAATAGAAGACTAAAAAAAATTTTTTAAGTTAGATTTGACTACAGATTAAACAAGATTAATCCACTGGACTTCATTTTCAAAAAAATATGTCTTTATTGTCTTTGCAGTAAATGATATATCTTTACAACTTTGCTTATTCTTTTTTATCTCATAAAGTATTAGCAAAGAAATCTTCCCAATGCACTATTACTCTGTCACTCATTTGCTTAAAAACCTGTTGTAGCCAGCCTGAGTGTTCTTTCCCCAGGCTGGTAAGTTCAGTTTGACAAATCACTCCTTTCCAAAGACCTCCCACCCCCAACTCTTGCCACCTGGAATGCCCTTCCACTCCTCTTCTCTTTAAATTTTACCTCAGTCAAGTACCAAGTTATGTCTCTTCCTGAACTGTTTTCCAGTGACTTTAGGCCAAAATAATCTTTTTCTGAAATGCTATGGTAATTATAATCTGAATTATTCAGACAAAATGGAGATATTGGAGGTTTTTTTAAGATACTGGTTTTTTAAAAACGTTTATTTCCTTGTATACAAATATAGCAGAATTCCAACTAGAACAATTTTGGTCTGGAACTGGGTATTACACATACCTTTGCTCCCTTCTGTACTCTCACCTAGTGGACACTTGATAAATACATGAAGTACATCCTTTAGAAACAAAAAAATCCCAAAGAAGATAAAGACCAATGTTCTGAATCGAATTTTGGTGAGAATTGACAAGAGAACGTCTTACATATACGTATTTAAAACAATGAATCAGGAACACTACTTCAAAAAGCACACTTTAAGGGCACTTGGCTGGCTCACTTGGAGGAGAATGTGACTCAGGGTTGTGAGTTTCAGCCCCACGTTGGGCGTAGAGATTACTAAAAAAAACAAACCTAAAAAAAAAAAAAGTACACTTTACCAGCAGATTTTTTTATTTCTTAAGCAAGGATGGGATAGAAATAAACACAAAACACAAAACAGTCTGAAATCTAAGAAATATGCCTGTACCTAAAAATACCATTTATTTTTTCCATCAGCTATAAATTTTTCCCTTCAATAATTGTAATAAATTTATTTGTTCCCTTTTGACTTTATCTCGACATGCTTAGCTAAAATAATTAAAATGAAATACTCTGTATTCAAATTTTATATATGTTTAGTGCTTAGAACATAAATATATCTGAATTCTCAATTTTTAGTTCTTACCTGCAGTTTCTGATGTATTTGAAACAATTCCTCATAGATCTGATTAATCTGATGTGGAAGTATTCTCTGCTTCTTTGGTGCTTTAGATGTCGAACAGCTGACACATCTCAGAGGGGAGTCACTTACATTACTACAACATTCAGTCCAATTTCTTGAATTTGATGTCACATTAGTTGGCTGGGCAACTGCTACAAAAGAAATTTAATTATAAATTATTACAGTTTTAAGTATTCTCAGCGTACTCTTCAGGAAGAGTTACTTTAAATATGAATTAAAAGTATTGTTAAAAGTCTCCAGTATTAAAAACAGTATGGAGGTTCCTCAAAAAGTTAAAAATAGAACTACCCTATGACCCAGCAACTGCACTACTAGGTATTTATCCAAAGGGTACAAAAACAGTGATTCGAAGGGACACATACACCTCAATGTTTATAGGAGCAATGTCCACAATAGCCAAAATGTGAAAAGAGCCCAGATGTCCATCTACAGATGAATGGATAAAGAAGATGTGGTATATATATACAGTGGAATATTACTCAGCCATCAAAAAGAATGAAATCTTGCCATTTGCAATGACATGGATGGAACTATAGGGTATTATGCTAAGCGAAATAAGCCAGTCAAAAACAAATACCATATGATTTCACTCATATGTGGAATTTAAGAAACAAAACAGATGAACATAGGGGAAGGAAAGGAAAAATAAAATAAGATAAAAACAGAGGGAGGCAAACCATAAGAGACTCTTAACTCTAGGTAAAAAACTGAGGGTTGCTGGAGGGGATGTGGGTGAGGGAAAGGGATGATTGAGTGATGGGTATTAAGGAGGGTACTTGATGTAATGAGCACTGGGTGTTACAGGCAACCAATGAATCACTAAATTCTACCCTTGAAACTAGTAATACACTATATGTTAACTAAATTGAATTTAAATAAAAAAAATTTTTTTTTTTTGGGCGCCTGGGTGGCTCAGTTGGTTAAGCGACTGCCTTCGCCTCAGGTCATGATCCTGGAGTCCCGGGATCGAGTCCCGCATCGGGCTCCCTGCTCAGCAGGGAGTCTGCTTCTCCCTCTGACCCTCCTCCCTCTCATGCTCTCTGTCTCTCATTCTGTCTCAAATAAATAAAATCTTTAAAAAAAAATAAATTAAAAAAAAATTATTTTTTTTAAAGTCATCAGTATTATATGCAGAAACAATTACATAGCAAATGTGGTAAAATGTTAAAATTTAGAAAATCTGTGTGAAGGCCTTACAGAAATTCTCTATGCTCTTATGGCAATTTTTCCCTAAGTCTGAAATTATTTCAAAATGGATTTTAAAGATTTTTATTTTTATTTATTTGACAGAGAGACAGTGAGAGAGGGAACACAAGCAGGGGGAGTAGGAGAGGGACAAGCAGGCTTCCCGCTGAGCAGGGAGCCCAATGCGGGGCTCGATCCCAGGACCCTGGGATCACAACCCGAGCCGAAGGCAGACGCTTAACAACTGAGCCACCCAGGTGCCCCTCAAAATGGATTTAAAAGTGCATGAAAACACTCATGTATTAACTGCCTAGGCCAAGAAATAAATGTAAAGTTACCTCAGAAACCCCTGATTACATTCCCTTCTCTCCTCTAAACCAAATTAACCACTAACCCAAATATAGCATTAATCATTGCTTTATTTTTTAAAAGTTTTTAGTATCTGGGTAAAAAAAAAAATTAAGACCTCATTTTGCCTGGTTTTAAATCTTATATAATGTCTGTAATTTAGATAATGATGTAATTATGTAATTTCTATAACCTCCTTTAAATATGTTCTTGTATTAATGACTGAATCAGGTTCACAAATCTTCACTACTTTATCCTATTTTGTATTTTTATAAGCCAACATTCTACTACAGGTGGGTATTTGAGCTCTTTGTCTACATAGGTGCTCCACAGTCTTGCATGTGGCTGCTGGTACACATGTTCAAGAGTTTCTCCAGGGTATATGACTAACAGCAACATTGTTGGATCATAAGGGACATGTGCAGGTTCAACTGTGCCAGTGATATCAAACTGCTTGCCAAAGTGGTTATATTAATTTACTCTCCCCAAAGCAATGGATGAGCAAGTTCCTCTTGCTTCACTTCTCTGCCAACACTGTATTGCCAGAATTTATTTTCTGTTAGTACTGAAAGTGGTTTTAACTTGCATTAGCCTTCCTGGGAATCCTAGCTTTAAGAAAGGGGTCTCCTATTGTATTCCCCATCTTGGACAGACCTTAGGGAGCCAAAATAAAAAATAACACAAATTTTTAACAAAGAAAAACGTTTTAGGGCGCCTCGGTGGCTCAGTCTGTTAAGCAACAACTCTTGATTTCAGCATAGATCATGATCTCAGAGTAGTGAGATCAAGCCCCATGTGGGGCTCCACACTCCACAGGGAGTCAACTTGGGATTCTTTTTCCCTCTCCCTCTGTTCCCCCTTCCCCAAATGTGCATGCAAGCGGGTGCACTCTCTAATAAACAAATAAATCTTAAAAAAAAAAAAAAAAAAGTTTCACTTCACTCAGTTCAGCAAATCCCCTTAAAGTGAAAGTTTCATTTTTTAGAAGATTTTATTTATTTATTTTATTTATTTTAATTTATTGCATGCAGGAGGGGGAGGAGGGGCAGAGGGAGAGGGAGAAAGAATCCCAGGTGACTCCAGTGGAGCACAGAGCCCTATACTGGGCTTAATCTCAGGACCCTGAGATCACAACCCTAGCTGAAATTGAAAGTCAGATGCCCAACAGACTGAGCCACCCAGGTGCCCCTAAAGTGAAAGACACTTTCACTGCTTTGCTTGTCTCTCTAGGTTCCCATCTCACAATCCGTAGCTTAAATATTCCTTAATTATGTCAACTCTTAAATACATTCAACTTTTTTTTTTTTACATTATCCTGTATTTTCAATTGTTTTTCAGTGGGAAAATCCAACATGTAGCCAGAAACACAAGTCCAGGCAGAATTTCTTTTCACTTTCCTCAAATGCTGAGATGACTAGGAAAAGGATGAAGGAGAGTGGGAAGGGAGAAATGAGCATGTGTTGTGTGCAGACAACATATGCCCAGAAGAGATGCACAAAGGCTATCAAAGGGGCAACACTGTTCTCAAAGTCTTGCAGCCAAGAGGAAGCCATTTCTGGTTGCCTCTTTCCTTGAAATGCTGACAAAACTATGACATGCAGCCACATGCACAGAAAGTTATTAAAGAAGTGCCTGAAGAAGCTATACCTTAAGTAATCTGGAGTACTGTCTTAAAATATTAAAGGATTACTCAAATCTACCACAGTATTTAGTGACTTGCTAAACAAATACTGATATGAAAAAATATGAAGAAATTATAAAAAGTATTCAATTGACTAACTTATTTTGATAATTTTGAGAGCATAGGAATACTACTGGAAAATAATGAAGTTTATTTTTCTCTTCTCCTTTAGTTAATAATAAGCACAGTTACTCTCTCATGGCTTACAAAAATGCAGAACACAGAAATACACAGACACATGAGGGCCAGTGTTATTAACCATGGGATAAGCTTTATGTGCTCTACTTGACGAAGCTACTTAAAAAAAAAAGATTTTATTTTTAAATAATCTCTACACCCAATGTGGGGCTCAAACTTATAACCCTGAGATCAAGAGTCATGTGCTCTACCTACTGAGCCAGCCAGATGCCCTGAGACAAAGCATCTTTTTAAGTAACTATTCTAAAATGATTATCTCTTTTACCTTTTCCTATGTCTTTAAAAGACTGTTTGGTTATTTTGGAGGTACTAATTCTACGATCATTCTCAATTAACTCTTCTTTTTTTTCTCGTTGCTTCAAATCTTGAAAAGAATCCAGTTCATCATCTAGGCTTTAAAAAAAAAAAAACCCCTATCACAACATTCTGGAAGTTCTATAGCATTTTAAAAAGATAAAACTGCTTTTCAAATATTAACAGCATAACAACTGAAAAAAAATTTAACAAGTAAACATTTTTGAAAATGGAAAACAAAATGTGAAAAGTAAGTCACTGATCCTAAAAAGTCACCACAGGTACCTTTCTACATAATCCAATGGGCTTAATTTAAAATGACATATACCTGTAGAACGCTCTACAACTGCCAAACTCTTTCTTTTGATTCCTAATACTTCTGTGAGGTAGATATAACAGGTCCTGTTAGCTATAATTTTAGCTAAAAGAACTAACATTTAACAGGAAGAAACTGAAACCTAAAGAATTTAAATAACTGACACATGACGTTAACTAGTAAAAGGTAAAGCAGAACTAGAATCTCAGGTGTTCTCTCCAAAAAGATGATCTCAAAGTTGAAATTTCTAGAGCAGTGCTGCTCAAAGGAATATAATTCAAGTCACATAAGGCAATTTAAAATTCTCTAGTAGCCGTATTAAAAACATAAAAACACAAAATTTTAACAATGTTAAGTGTTTTAACAATATTTAACCCAGTATATCTAAAAGATTATTTTAATATATAATCAGTATTAAAAAATTATTAAGATATTTTGCATTCTTTTATCCATCTTTGAAATCCGGTGTATTATTTCTTACTTATATTTCACGTACTCAATAGCCTCCTGTGCCCTGTGGCTACTATGCTGGACAGCACTATAATTCCAGATTAGATCATAACTAGAGATTATGGAAAAAACTGCCTAATGTTACAAAAACTTTCATAGTTCAAAAGCTTCAAGTTATAACTTGAAATTATACCCAGATCATTTATGATAACAAAAAATGATAAAACTATTAGTTAAATATAAGAAAATAATTTCCAGAAATTCATAATTATCTCAAAATAACTTTTACTTTCCTTACTCTATATTCAATCTACCTCATGTCCAAATCTTAAATCCATATCAACAAAGCTACTTTGTGAATGCCAAATGAAATAGTATAACAATGATAATAGCACATTTGAATGCTTTTCTATGTATTAAGCACTGTTCTAAGTGCTTTACATGAATTAAATCATTTAAGTAGAAAATGAGGCAATTATATAAAAAACTCAAGCTCCCAAATATCAATTACATGAATAATTTACACATATTTTTGGCACAGTTAGCTTTTCTTCTCCCCATGATTATCTCAACATTTCATTTTGTATATGTATACATCTTTATGGTTTAACAGTATTCCAAAACATTTACCCTTCTTGATATACATAGCACCTCCTTCTGCCACATATTTATGGCATTTAATTGGATCTAATTCAGAACTTTATTTCACCTTAGCTTCCACTGTTTTTATATTGGTTTCACCCACTCACAGCCCAACACTCTGCACATTTGTAGTTAGCATCCCCTTAGATTGATTTCTTCAATCTCTCTACCTAAAATATAGCTTACCACACTAGAAGATACACAATGGATACTGAGTTAAATATCACTGTCTAACAAACCTGCATTCATCTGTATCCTAGCTCCTTAAAAAAAGGGGGGGGGGAGCGGAGCAGGGTCTTCATTTGGGTCCTGGATGAATAACCATAGAAATAATTGTTCATCTTTCATACTGTGTAAATAACTTTCCATTATACCACCAAACATAATGCTAGGCTTATGCTTTTATCACAGAGAGTCTCAGTAAAAATTAATAAATCAGTCTCTTCAACCATTCAGCAGGCTCCAGACTGCTTGTACTTCCTCTCAGAAAAAAGCAAAGACATAAACAATCCACACTTTAATCTGTTTTTTTAGATACCCAAGGGAGAGCAATACTAAGGATTCAAAGTACTTTACCAATTCACATTTAAGTGTTTGAATGAACTACAAAGTGGTGTTGTGCAATGCTTTCTTTCATCAGAATAACATCTTAATGATGAACCCACTTTATCTCCGGATGAGAAGATACCCAAATCATCTGTTAACAAAAAAGAAAATAGCAGAGATTACTAAAATCAGATACTAATTTCATTCTAGGCTTCTAAAGGTAAGGCAGCAAAATTACCTCATGATTTCTTATCTGTATGTCTCTGTAATGCAAACTTCAAAAAACAGGCATCAAATCTTGTATTTATATAGCACTTTACTGATTTCAAAATGCTCTTTCATTTATTACCTTATTTGATCTTAGCAACAACTAGCTTACTATGAAGTAAGCAGAATAGGTGCCTTTAACCCTATTCTAATGATGTGAAGTCTAAGGACCAGAGAAGTAATATGAAGTTATCCAAGTTAACAGAACCAGCAAATGGAAAGATTAAAATTCAGAATCCAGGCTTATTCCTACCTAATCATTATATTTCATCAGTCCTCAAATATTAAACAGCTTATTTTATAATTTTAAACACTAAACATTTTTTTTATTAGACAGAGAGAGAGCACGAATGGGAGGGGCAGAGAGAAAGGGAGAGAGAATCTCAAGCAGACTCTGCACTAAGCATGGAGCCCAACACAGGGCTTGATCTCACAACCCTGAGATCCCGACCTGAACCAAAACCAAAGAGTCAGACACTTAACTGAATGCAACACCCAGGCGCCCCTAAACACTAAACATTTAACAGACTATTGGCCTATATCTAAACTGAATAAAAGGCAAAGAGAGCTTCTCTGGTAAGAAATTTAGAAATATTTTTAAAAACTTTTTTGGAATTATCTGATTTTTTAAAAACTAGTTTCAGAGGTAGAATTTAGTGATTCGTCAGTTGCATATAACACTCAGTGCTCATTACATCAAGTGCCCTCCTTAATGCCCATCACCGAATTATACCTTCCCCCCACTCACCTCCCCTCCAGCAACCCTCAGTTTGTTCCCCAGAGCTAAGAGTCTCTGGTTTGTCTCCCTCTCTGATTTCATCTTATTTTTCCTTTCCTTCCCCTATGTTCATCTGTTTTGTTTCTTAAATTCCACATGAGTGAAATCATATGGTATTTGTCTTTGACTGGCTTATTTCGCTTAGTATAATACCCTATAGTTCCATCCATGTCTTTGAAATGTATGCAGCCTTGTCTAACATGCATTTTTACCCCATCAGAAAGTAAATGAGCTATACTTTTTAGTTATATTTTAAAAAGCTGGAAATTTTAGGGCAAATTTCAAAACTAAAATATAATTTTAAGATATTTTTAAGATACTAGACTCAGTAATAACTGGGTTTTTTTCATACTGAAGGAATGTTTCGGAAGAGTGTTTACAAAATTTCAAAATGAAATAAACTTGGAAAAAAATGAAATTCTCTAATCTACCATCTGATAAACTTTTAAAGATATGGTTTCTGCTATCACCCCAAAATTCGGTGATTATACTTACTAGTGAAAACAACACTGAAGAAGTACCAACAAATCAAAAGACTAATGGTTAATTAGCTATATATGTTAGTTCCAGATTACCACATAATGTTCCAATCCACCCAATCTCACAATATAATTATCTTTATCAAGTACATTTGATAAATTCTTCCAGTGCAACAATTATTACCCCTGTAACTTGGAAAAGTTTATGCCTCAAAAAAATAGCAGTTTTCTTTACCTAATATACTGTTTAATTTTTAACATTTTTAAAGGCAAAAATGCTGTAACTGAAACACCAAAAAGAATTCAATTTGATTTTAAAGACATCTTACACATTTACCCCCCCCAAATCTTGATTACTATTAGTTCATTACCCGAATGAAAAAAGCTTAGTATCACAAGATATCTGGCACTTAGTCTTAAGCCTAAACATTTTTTTTTAATGTTTTTTCTCAAATTAAATTTGTTAAAACCCCCAAATATACAAAATACTCCATCAGCTTACCTGGGGAGGTTAGCAATCTTCTCTTCCATTTAGCCTGATCAAAATTTGAAAAATCATACTTAAAAAAAAAAAAGACATATTTAATTTATATATTAATAATCAACCTACAGTCTCAAAAGAGTTCCCCACAAATTATGTATTAAGTACAAGGAATAATTACAAAGGTTAGAGTGGACAAATCTGATAGACACTACCTTAACCAAGTAGTCAAAAGTTAGTATCACCAATAATGGGGCAAAGCAACATCACAGGTCTCCTAATGAACAGGAGCAACGCATACATCACTCCTGCCAAAAATGCAAAAACCAGTATCTATCTAATCATGAGGTGTATTCACCAGAGAAACTCAGCTGTCCTATAGTCTTCAAAAATATCAACATTATAGAAGGCAAAGAGTTAAGAACCTGTTCCAGAAAAAACAGAAGCGAGAACCAAATGCAATGCTCATTTTTAGACTGTATCTGCACCAGGAAAAAAAATTTTACAAAGGACATTATTGAGATAATTGGTGAAATTTGAAATTGAACCATACATTACATATTATTGTATAAGTGGTAAGTCTCCTTAATTTATTACTGGGGGCATATAAGAGAATATGCTTATTCCTAGAAAATACACTAAAGTATTTATATTTGGGGGTAGTATCACAGTGCCTGCAAGTTACCCTTCAATAGTTCAGGGGGACAATGTGTGTTTGGAAAGTCAAAACTAGGAATAGTAACGCAAATGTGGCAAAATGTTAACAACTGGTGAGTCCAAACGAAGTATTCAAGAGTTCTTTGTATTATTCTTGCAACTTTAAGTTTGGAATTGTTTCCAAATAGGAAGGCTTTTAAAGGAATTAAAATTGCTTTTTGAACTCCACACGAGTCACTGTAAATTAAAGTGCCATACCACCATGTCTGATACATCATAAACCTTCAAGAGCTTATGGTGAAGGAATTTTTCTGATACAAAATTTGTTTTTCCCACATAGTGAGCATCTGCGGCCACAAATGACTTCTGCTCCTCTGGCTACCTTTCGCTAACCCTGTTGCCGGCCGAGCGGCTCGAGGCCCAGAGAGTGGCTCCCCGCCCGAGTGCCCTGCGCACCCCGGCTCCGAGGCTTTGGGCGCAGCTGCCGGGCGGGCGGCTTCACACCTGCAAGAACCGGCCCGCGGACACAGGGACGGGTCGAGGTGAAGGGCGAGGCCTCACCTCGGCGAAGCGGCTACCCCCTAGTCCGTAGCGGCTTTTGAGACGTTCCACTACCAAATCCTGCCCGGGCGGCTTCACTAGCCTCGGCTCCATAGCGCGCCGAGGCCACCGTTGTCACCCTGCGAACAGCTTCCAAACACACGGCGACGGAGCGCGCAGGGGCGGAGCTCGCACAACGGAAGGGCGACGTGACGCACGGCACGCCCCGTCCCGCCCCTCGGGGTCCAGAGCTACGCCGAAGCGCGAGGAGGCCGAGCCTAACCGGGAGGCGGGGGCGCGGCCACTTAAGCGGAGCGCGGGAGCAGCCAGAGGCGTGGGCAAGGGAGAAGCGCGCCAATTTGGAGTCCTTCTGTCTCCTATTCTCTGTACTGTTAAAAACGTTCTCGTGTTAACAAACGTTTTTCCTGCCGAACGATTTAATGACTAATTCCTTTACTGCTGTGTTATTTGGACTGATAAATGGCGTTTTATCTTTGTCTTAAAAAATTTTTGCTACTTGTCTTCCTGGGTCGTGTCCAAGGCGCCGAAAAGTACAATCGTCCACAGCAGTTACACCTTAGCAGGCGTGGCCCCTCACGGGAGGACGCTCAGCCGTAGCCTCAGGCACCTCCACCCCTTCACGGGAAAACACCACTTTCACGGTAACCTGTGCGCCTCGCCTGCAAGTGGGAATGCGCACACGCTACGTCCACAGACGACATGGTCACCAGGATGGTCCAAACTGACTGGTGGCAACCCCCTCTTGCCTCTAATACAGCTTACGTGTATTTAGGGCGCGTTTGGACATAACGAAAATACAGTGCTCTTTAATCGGAATGGTCTTTGCTAACTGTAAAAACAGGCAAAAATCAAGAATATATCGTACTGCAAAGCACAGAATTCTCAAAAAGGATTACTCCCTCACTTCCCCTGCCACTGGCCTGAGTTCCGTATGTATATTAAAAAGCAGTATTAGGGGGCGCCTGGGTGGCTCAGGTCATGATCTTGGGAGTCCCAAGATCGAGTCCCGCATCGGGCTCCCTGCTCGGCAGGGAGTCTGCTTCTCCCTCTGACCCTCTTCCTCTCATGCTCTCTCTCTCTCATTCTCGCTCTCAAATAAAATCTTAAAAAATATAAATAAATAAATAAATAAATAAATAAATAAATAAATAAATAAATAAATAAATAAATAAATAAATTTTAAAAAAGCAGTATTAGAATGTAAGTTCCCTGTACGAATGTAATGAATGTAAGAGCATGTACTTTTTTTTAAACAGCTTTTCCCAATACCTAGAAAAGGGCCAGGCATTTGTAGTTGCTCAATATTTACTGGATGGTATACCAACCTAAATCCACTATTACACCAAGACTAATTGAAAGGAATAACTGAATAACCACTTAATTTCTCTCATTTATACAATTACACTAGTGTAATCCTTTACTTTTCTAACTTGTGAATGTTCAACAGCATGTCTGAACTAACAAATCCTAGATTGTCTAGAATATCTTTCAAATTCTTCAAATACCAAAGTTTTAGATCATTTTAATAGTTATCTGAAAATTACTTATACCAATATTCTTTGCCATCAAATATTACAGTGTATGAATAATTTTTTATACTCTGAACAGATTTCTAATTAGACAATATAAAGTGGAGCCAGTTGGGGGGAAAAAGTACATGTCGTTGTGGATTTATACTACATTAGCAATTAAATAACAAAGAGAAATCACAAAGTCCTTTCCTGAAATGTGACACAAAGTCTTTGTCATTAATGCCCCAAGCCATCTTTTAAGCATCTTTGGAATACTAATACTGGAAAACAGTTTACATGTCATTTAATCAAATTTTTGGTCCAAGCATTAGCTTTTATTTTTTTTCTTAATGCTTTAGGACAGCATAGAAGACAGTGTAAACGGATTTCTCTAAAAAATATCTAAGGCACACTTGCCTTTACTTGGAATTTATTCTAAAATTATGACAAAGGCATCAGCTGTCCCAGCTGAAAAACTACAACACACTTTGTACCAACTTATATTACATAGGTCTCCAAAGAAGCCAATTCTTAATACTAAATGTGCATATATATGTAGTCCATGGTTCTCTCTGTTAAGGTTCAGATAATTTCAAAGATATACTGCAATAGGTTTATTTCAGTTAACTGGCTTTGTGGCCAAGTGGATTTAGTGATAGTATTCCATCACTCATTACTCACACACACCACACATGACATCCCTCTCCTCCTCTATCTGGTGGTTGAACAGGTATTATATGATAACGGAATAAACGCCACTGTCTTTCACTAAAAATGAGATGATTTCACTGGGAAGAACACAGGAGGGTAGAAGGCAGAGGGTAGAACATTTGTTAACACGAGAATGTGGTTTGAAAACTAAGAAATACCCATTTCTGAAAGACAAAAATGAATGTTGGTAATGAGAATACACAAAAATATGTGCTCTAGATTCTCTGTAGTTGTACTGAGTAGGCTGATGAGAATATCTCCCCCTCTCCCCCCTGCTCTGCCGCCTTTTTAGCAGTTTGCCTGACTTTTGATACTAGTCATTTCCAAATAAATGTTCAGTGTGTAAGTATCAAACTTGAAAAGAAGTCACTTTCTTGGGAGCTTTGGAAATTATGTGGCAGTCTGATTTACAGAACTTTAATTGTCCTCCTTACTTTGGCTCTAGAATGAACAAACAACTAGATGCACAAGTAATAAATTTTTAAATGTCATGGCTGTTAACAATTGTCACTTTATTTTTGCTACAAAATTCACCAGAAAAAGGTACTGCAACAATCTAGTATAAAGCAAATCTTTAACCAAAGAACATGGTATAGACCTTTTTAAAATAGTCATACTTTATCACAATAACTGCAAGGAAAAATTCAAGTTCTATCAGAACCAAGCTGCAGTTTGAGGTAGTAGAAACAGATGACAGAAAAGTTAAAACAAAAACAAAAAACTAAGGAAATACTTGTTTAAAATGTAAAAATTAATTTAATACCTTTGAAAGGGCACAGGAAACTACATATAATTTTAAGAAAAGAAGGTACTCTACTTAAAAGTTAATTTAACCATACAGGAGGTGCAAGGATTATAGAAGAGCACTTTGGTTAAGTCTCTACCCTCTGTGGCTCTACCCATTCATAAGTGAGTCTCTATGCATAAATGAGCACACCAATAGTTAAAATTACCAAATATATTTCCAATGTAAAATAAAAATTATCCAAGTTGTGGTCCCTTTATTCAAATGGTAAGTTTATCCATGCAGGAAGTCCAATATCTTAAAAGGTAAAATTAAATTGCATATATCATATTCCTTCAATAGTTTGAGAAGGTCTATTGCTTTTAACAAGATTAGTATTATTCCATTTTGATACAGATATGTCAGGAGTACATAAACACAAGTACACCTGATTTACACCAGTGTTTAAACTTTTATTTCACACCATGCAAGGTCAATTATAACACATTAAAAAGTGACAACAGCTATAAGCTGCAATTTTACATTTATACACTGGAAACGTCCATTTTCAAAAGCTGAACATAATTACCATATTGTCACAACAGCTAAGCTTCAATTCAACTGTTTATACAGGTAAAATTTACTATGAAAAACAATGATTTTATATCTGTCCACATTCTGTGATAGTAATTCTTCGACTAACAGACCCTTTAGGAGAGCCAAATGATTCAATCTTTTTCACAGTATCCATGCCATCCTTAACAAACCCAAATACTACATGCTTAAAGTCCAAATCTTCTGCTTTTTTCAGTGTTATAAAAAACTGAGAATTATTGGTATCCCGGCCTCGACTGGCCATTGATAATAAGCCAGGACCAGTATGTTTCACATCAAAATTTTCATCTTCAAATTTATCTCCATAGATAGACTGTCCTCCTGTTCCATCATGTTTGGTGATATCTCCCCCCTGAAAGAAGATTTCAATTAATAGGAATTCTGAATAAAATAATAAAATACACACAGATCTACCACTACACATTAAGTCCTAAAAACTCAGCTTCCTTGAGAATGTGGTTTGAAAACTAAGAAATACCCATTTCTGAAAGACAAAAATGAAAAGGTCTTTTTCCCACCCTCAATTTCTAGCAGGTTTCAAGGTATTAGAAATTTAAACCATTTTTAGGTTAAAAGTTTTTGTGGGGACAGGAAGTTGGGTGCTGACACCAACTAATATACAGAAAAGCTAAAGAAATCTTTTTTTTTTTTAAAGATTTTATTTATTTATTCATGAGAGACAGAGACAGAGAGAGAGAGAAGCAGGCTCCCAAGGAGCAGGGAGCCCGATGCGGGACTCGATCCCAGGACTTTAGGATCATGACCTGAGCCGAAGGCAGACGCTTAACCATCTGAGCCACCCAGGCGCCCAAGCTAAAGAAATCTTAAGAAAATTCCAGGCAAAGAGAAACACTCAAATTTCTCAAGTTAGTGTGGTTCACTTTTCTAGACTTCAACTGTGATATACAATTAAATACAATACTTACTTGGCAAACAAAATCTGGAATTACTTTGTGAAAAATGGAGTTCTTGAAGCCAAAGCCTTTCTCTCCAGTGCAGAGTGCTCTGAAGTTCTCGGCAGTCTGAGGAACAACGTTTGAAAATAATTCCATGGTTATACGTCCTAGAGGTTCATCATCTGCGCAAACATCAAAAAACACCACAGGATTTGTCTCCTTCGATAACTCTGCTGTCAGTGATACTTGTCCTTTCTGAAGTTTCAATAAATTCTGTTGACATTCTTCAAATTTTTTTTTAAAACCATCAGCCATTTCTTTGGTTTTAAACCTCACTGCAAGCTGTTCCACTTTGGCTTCTCCATCTATTAAACAACAAAACAACACAAGGATGGACCTTAATATTAAAATAAATGTTATAAACTCTCATATATTTGTTACGGATTTTAGAAAAGTCCAAAAAAGTGAAAAGTAGCATTTGAATGTAGAACTCACCAGCATAATCTGAGGCAGTCCAAACTAAAGCATTGTTTGAAACATTCAAGGGTTTTAATTCCATTGTTTTAGTGATAACATGGTTTGCACACACTTTAAAAACCTGGTCTCTTCTCATTAGGATCCGGTAGTAATTCTTCATTGTATGCCAAAGAATCTTTATGTCTCCTACACCACGCTCCTTCCACTGACTGACCTCTCGATCCCATCTATAGAGTTTGGCTCTCTCTTTAAATAAAATTTCTTCATCTTCTTCTCCGGATTTTACTTCTACCTATGACAGTAGATAAAACTGTAAGCTGCTGCTTTTAACATGACAAATTCCAAAGATCCAAATTCCTCATGATATTGTTTTGCAATGACAATAACAGAATTTCAACTATAGTATCAAGATAAATGGTAATATCCAAGGGCTAGGAATACATCTGATTTGGATGAAGCAGTAAAGACCTGGTTTGTCATGAAATATTTATCTTATTAGGATTCTTCCTCCTTTTGGAAAGTAAATACATTCCTTTATTTATATTATTTGTATTTATAAATACAATCTACTATTGACTGTAGTTGAAAACTGACAAAGTAATTTGCCTAAAATAACATTCTTGTCCAGAAAATGTAGTTTACTTTTTATTGAAAGGATTTTGGCAAGTATGAGATTGGATACTTTTTTACTCCCAGAATTACGTTATGAAAACAAGATATTCTAAAAACATACGAAAAAAACTTTGTTCTTCCCAATAAGTTCATGTAGAATTTATATATATATAAAATAATAAAAAGCTTCCATTTGAAAGGGTAAATATTCTGAAAGAAATGCAAACAAAGTTAGTCCTGCAAGTCAAGCCTATGTCAAGTTTTAAACTTAAAATGTGAAGTTATTAGTAAGAGTTCCATTCTTTAATAGTTACCTCAGGTAATGACACTATTGGTTCAAAATGGATATCTTCATTGTGAACGACTTCTTCATCACTACCATCCTCATCTTCGCCAACTTTACTGGTTGACTGTGCTCCAAACACAGCTGCGCCAGTATTAGCCCACTGGAAATTTTTATCTGATGAATAAATTAGGATATTTAAACAGTGGTATCTAATTTTATATGCTTTTAAAACCCGTTACTTTGAGGCCTATAATTTCCAATGATATAACATATACTTTTAGTAAAAATGCTTAAAATTATATTACTCTGACAAGTTTAACTCACATGGATTGTGAGCACACAGTACATTTAATATTGTTTATGCTCTGAGCTACAAAGATAAATTTGCTTTAGGCAAATTTCATGATACTAAACTACCCAAGAACTTCCAGTAATGAAGCCCGTTCTTAAAAATACATACCTTGGAACTCTGAACAATTAGCTCAGCTCCAAAGGTAATATACTTCATAAAACATTTTATCACATGTGAAAAGTAACTTTTGAACCTAAAAATGTCCTCTCAAAGAGGCCACACCTGCTACTTCCAAAGTAGTCAAAGCAGCCCAAACACATGTAGGTTTTCTACCTCAACTTCTTCCTGAAGTAACTAGTGTTACAGCTTAGACTTCTTGGCCAGGTGGGAGATGGTAGCGCTCGGAGCTCACTGACTTCAACTATCCTCAAGGGATACTAGGCTGTTGGGACTGAAGACTCCCTGTTCCCATGCAGAGAAACAAAGAACTTACACCTTGGAGAAGATGAAAATTAGTTCCTTCTTCATCCCCATCTCAACTGAGATGGCCCAGCCTGCTAATAATACATTCCTCACTATCTTAGAGGAAAGAAACACCTCTTAACTTTTCATCACTTGTTAATGAATCACTACCTTAGAAAATTCTACATCCAGTGCTAAAAACTCTTAAGGCAAAAATATCACAGATCATTTAAAAAGTAACTCAGCACCTTGAAGAAAGCACAAAATGAGTACCTATTAACAGTAACTCCCTCTAACCCAGATTTAGTGGTGAGAATAAAAAAACTTTAAAAAGAGAGAGAAGACAAAAATTCTTAGGAAGATACTGCAAAAGAGGGGTGCCTGGTGGCTCAGTTAGTTAAGCAACCGACTCTTGATTTTGGCTCAGGTCATGATCTCAGGGTTGTGAGATCGCGCCCCACAATGGACTCTGCGCTGGGCGTGAAGCCTGCTTAAGATTCTCCCCCTCACTCTGCCATCTACCAATGCTCTTGCATGTACAAGCACATTCTCTCTCCCTCTCCTGTCTCTCTTAAAAACAAAAAACAGGGTGCCTGGGTGGCTCAGTTGGTTGAGCAACTGCCTTCGGCTCAGGTCATGATCCTGGAGTCCCAGGAGCCAGTCCCGCATTGGGCTCCCTGCTCAGTGGGGAGTCTGCTTCTCCCTCTGACCCTCCCTCCTCTCATTCTCTCTCTCTCTAATAAATAAATCTTTAAATCAAAATAAAACAAAACAAAAAAACCAAAAAACAAAACTGGTTCAGGAACTCCCAAGCTGAGAAAAATTTTTAATTACCCTCCAAGACCCTTGAGAGGTATGGCAGAAAATTCCAAAATGTCTCAATGGTTCTTAATGCTGGGTGAATTATTAGAATCACACAGGAACTTTTGTAAGATATCAATGCCTGGGCTACCATGCCCAGAGAGCCCAATAATAATAGGTGTTTAAAAAAAAGCAAAAAAACAAAAAACCTCCCAGGAAATTCTAATACAAATCCAAGGGTTTTCTGAAAACCACTGATTTGAAGAGACCAGGAGGAAGAATTTTACAGTAAAAATGTAAAGATACACATGTCAATAATCAATATCCATTTCATAGTAAGAGTTCTATGTAATAGTACATAGGAGACTTCCACTATGTGTCCACGTTTAATGAAAACATTACAAAATCTGGGCGCCTGGGTGGCTCAGTTGGTTAAGCGACTGCCTTCGGCTCAGGTCATGATCCTGGAGTCCCAGGATCGAGTCCCACAACGGGCTCCTTGCTCAGCGGGGAGTCTGCTGCTCCTTCTGACCCTCCCCCCTCTCATGCTCTCTCTATCTCATTCTCTCTCTCAAATAAATAAATAAAATCTTAAAAAAAAAAAAAGAAAACATTACAAAATCTGAAGGAAATATGATAAAATAGTGATTACTGACAAAGGCAGGTGATCTCTAAACAGGAACTCCCTTATTATTCTCTTAGTTTCTATATTAAATATTACACAACAGACGTGGAATGATTGACAGACTTATATGAAGAGAACTTGTGAAGAAAATGAATTTTTTAAGAAAACAAAAACAAAAAATGAACAGATTTAAAAAAAAAATCACCACAGAAAAAGAATATGCAAATAAGGAGAGAAAAAAAAAGATTCCTCTGAACTTAAAAACCAACAAAACAGAAAGTTTAAAATCAGAAAGGTCCATGCAATGCCAGAAACAACTTATAAAAAAAAAAAAAAAAAGGAAAGAAAGAAAAGAAAGATACCCACATTCTGGTGAAATTTATGACCTCTTAAAAAAAAAAAAACTAAAGAAGAGCAATGAAAAAATCTAAAGATAAATCAAACAAACAAAAGGAGAACTGACAAAACAAAAGGTATTTCTTTGAAAAGACAGCACAAATTCCTGTCAGATCTAAGAACAAAACAAAGTGAGAAATGTAGTTGAACAAAGAGCGTGGTGAATCATCTCACTGAAAAATGACAAGTGGTGGTGAGGAGTAAATGTCATGAGGTAGGTTTGAGTCTAGCCTATTTTACACTTTACTGCAACAGTACGGAAAGAGTACTTTAAAAGGTTACACTGAGTAACAAGCAACCTAACTCATCAACTTTTATTTGATAATTTTTTGTGTGTGGATAACTATATCCACTATAGGGCTTTTATTATCCTCTGACTTCAGGCTACTATACATTAAAATGAAAATAAGCAACTTGGGCGCCTGGGTGGCACAGTCGGTTAAGCGGCTGCTTTCGCCTCAGGTCATGATCCCCGGGTCCTGGGATCGAGTCCCACATCCGGCTCCCTGCTCAGCAGGGAGTCTGCTTCTCCCTCTGACCCTCCTCCCTCTCATGCTCTCTCTCTCTCTGTAATAAATAAATAAAGTCTTTATTAAAAAAAATAAAGCAACTTGACATCAACGAAGCTATGAATTCCAGCATAACAAAAAATACCTGAAGGTAATTTCTGAAAGTTTTACATGTGCTTCTGTAAGCGGCGGGTGCTATGAAAGAAGTGTAAGCATATGGGAGGGAAGAACGCTATTCGGATTTAATTCGGAATTAGATAAATCATGTAAGTATGTATCTTCAATAAAACTTATTCCATAAATCAAGCAACTTAGGTGGTGCTATAATCAGATATATAGAAGTCATTATAAGAATGAGAAAGTAATATGCCAGTAAACTTGAAACAATCAAGTAATGTATTATATTCTACAAATGATACAAAATGCACTAAAAACAGAAAACTACTGAAAAAGATGGGAAACCTCACCAACCATAAATTTATCATGATAAATTAGCACAATCCTTATGTTCAAACTCGATCAAGGAAACTAGAAAAATAGAAAACTATAAAATCTCCTTAAAAAATACAGATGCACAAATCTTGAAATATTAACAAAAACCAAATCCAAAAGCATAAGTAAAAGAACAATGCACCAAAATCAAGGTAATTCCAAAACTGGAAAGGGTTCTATATTTCAGGATGGGGAAGACATCAACAGGATTTATAGTGAATTAAGAGAAAATTCTTATGGTTTATATTAATAAATGTCAAAAATAATAGAATATAGAAGCCCTTCCTTATTAAAAAACCCTAAACAAAATGGAAGGTGGAGATGAGGAAAGAAATGTCCAACTTAGTTACAATACTGTGGCAAAGGACTAATTCTTTCAGTTGTGCTTGATTCTGTAACATCATTAAACTCTCTCCTCCCGATCTTACCTTTAGAACCAAAAGCAAAATCCCCAGAATTACTGGAAGCCAAGTCTGCAAATGACAGTCCTGTGCTACTTCCAAATCCAAATGAAACTGTTTTGCTTTCCACTGGCAAAAGGAAAAGAGTAATTTAATATTTCATTTAATATATACTGAACATCAAAGCTTTACCCAGGACCCAGAGAGAATGTGGGTGGGACATTCTATACTACCAAAGGGGTTGGGTATGTGGTGTGCATTATTTGTCTTCTGGTTATTTCTCTAAAGAAAAGTTATAAAATACACCCAATTTTTGAACTTCTTCAGTATTAAGTGTACAGGTACTATTCTCATGGAAAACTACACCAAAAGCATACCAAAAATCTTTTTTAAAAATGAGATGTAGATCTATACTAAACCTGATAAAAGAGCTATACACTCTGCTTTATAGAGTCTTCTATAATCTAAAACTATCACTCATTTACAGGTAGGGTTTTAGGAAAGATCTGCATAAAGAATTTTTCTGTTCTCTATTCTAAATAAGCTAACAAAAAATGAATGTCTTACTTATCTTTGGTCACCAGGTGTTTGGGGGTCTTAATTCTGACAATGTGTAGCTACATGATCTCTTAGAGTCCTAAGCCTTACTTTCATCATCTGAAAACATATGAGATTTTAGGTCTGAAATTACTTCCTCTTCTAACATATTAAGACTCTCAAGTACCTATAAATGATGTAGTAATTGTGCATTATTCAAGACTACTTCTGAAACAAATTAGGTAATACAGACAAGCAATTATAAAGGAATATAATTATAAAAGATTCCCCCTCTTCTAATATCAACTGAAATGAAAAAACGAGGAGGAAAGAATATCAGATCTTAATTACTGTAACTGATTAATTTAATGAAACAGGTAGAGAAAAAGACATTGAAGTATCATAAAAATTTAACCACCTTATTTTAGTATCTACAATTACTTCATATATAAATTTTAATATACTTCAATGATAATTCAAACAATATGCAAATGGCACCATTTTCACAAAGAAAATCTCCGCATAAGCAAAACTATTGTCATTTATTCTCAGGTAAAAAGGTCAGAGTCACAATGCTTCATATTCCTTAATAACTACAATTCTAACAATAAAAATACATGTTTATTATCTTTTGTTGACAAGGCAATATGATTTTCTGGTTATTACAAATATCTCTGGCCCCTTTATACATTTCAAAATGTGTTTTAAAGGGAAGGGAGTTTCTAAAATTGACATTTCAATCTATTTTCTCAAACATAACAAATAGGTATACCTTATGTAATGTATGCCTAGAAGGTTTTTGGAAAGGTATCAAATTTTACCTTGGCTTGTAGAATCTGCATCATCTTCCTTTCTAGTAGACAAATCTACAGGTTTGTCCACAGTTCCAGAAGAAATAGGTGATGAACTAATAGATTTGGTAATAAAATCAGGTTCTTCAGATTTACATAAAAATGGTACAGTCACTTTAGTCCCACCTGTATACACACTGTCAGCCGTGTTAGTTATTTCCTCATTCTGAGATTTCTGCAAAGAGGAAGTAACAAATAACTATGCTATTAAATACTGATTGACAAAAAGGATCACATACCCTATTTTAAAAGAAATTGAAGACCTGGGCATTCTGGATAAAATGCAATAAGCACACTTCACCCTCTCTCTCCCATTCCACGCTCCATCCTATCTTTCCCAATACCTACAACTCAACTGGACTGAAACAGAAATTACAAGTATAAAAAGCCTCTGAAAGGTGGATGAAAGCAGGAGGATTAAGAACCCCAAGACTTGAGGTATAATCTGGTGTTAAGAACCTTCCACGGTTTTTCCTTCCCTGCCAACCTTTATTCCAGCCTGGGTGCTAGAGCAGCTCCAAAACTGAAGCTGCCAATGACAGAGATGGAAAAAAGTCCCAAGAAAAGCCAACTCTCCCTGGCCAAGGGGTGGGGGATGTCATGAAATGATCCATGTGTTGAATGATCACAAAAAAACTTTAAAGAAGCGATTCTAGCAATGCTCCAGGATATAAGGACACATACTCTTTAAAACAAATGAAAAGATAAGTTCTCAGCAAAAAAAAACTGAAGGTAGGGGCGCCTGGGTGGCTCAGTCATTAAACGTCTGCCTTCAGCTCAGGTCATGATCCCATCCCAGAGTCCTGGGATCGAGCCCTGCATTGGACTCCCTGCTCTGCGGGAAGCCTGCTTCTCCCTCTCCCACTCCCCGCTTGTGTTCCCTCTCTCGCTGTGTCTCTGTCAAATAAATAAATAAAATCTTAAAAAAAAAAAGAAGGTATAAAAAGAGTCAAGTGGGAATTTTACAACTGAAAAATACAATAACAGAAAGCTCACATGGAACATTTACCCAAAAAAGACCACATTCTGGCCCATAAAACGCACCTCAACAAATTCAAAAGAACAGAAATCATACAAAGTATATACTCAGTCCACAAAGGAATTAAACTAGAAATCATTACCAGAAAGATAGCTGGAGAAATCCCAAATATTCAGAGATTAAATAACACACTTTTTAAAATAATATGTTTCCGAAGGTCTCTAGATAAGTTAAAAATAGTTTTAAATAAATATGAAACTACAACTTATCAAAACTTATAAAATGCAACAAAAGCAAGGAAGGGAAACCTTTATAGTACTGAATGCATACATTAAGAAGATGATCAATGGGGCGCCTGGGTGGCTCAGTCGGTTAAGCAGACCGAGCCTTTGGCTTGGGTCATGATCACAGGGTTCCTAGATCGAAATCTGCTTCTCCCTCTCCCTCTCTCTCAAATAAAATCTTTAAGAAAAAAAAAAAAAAAATCTAAAATCAGTAAACTTCCACCTTAAACTAGAGAAAGAAAAGCAATATCCAGTTAAAAATATTTATTTTCTTGAGATATTCTTTTGATAAATGCATTAGATAGTATGCTGCTCCCAAATATTTGGTGATATTCCAAATATCATTCTGTTACTGATTTCTAGTTTGATTCCGTTACTGTCTGTGAACATACTTTCAGTAATTTCAGTTCTTATAGGCTTAATGAAGGCTGTCTTGGTAAAGCAAGAAGAGAAGAAAAAATGAAAAGTATAGCAGAAATCAATAAAGCAGGAAATTAGGGGCGCCTGGTGGCTCAGTCATTAAGCATCTGCCTTCAGCTCAGGTCATGGTCCCAGGGTCCTGGGATCGAGCCCCACATCAGGCTCTCTGCTTGGCGGGAAGCCTGTTTCCCTCTCTCCCACTCCCCCCCGCCTGTGTTCCCTCTCTCGCTGTGTCTCTATCAAATAAATAAAATCTTTAAAACATAAAAAATAAATAAAATATAAAGCAGGAAATTAATAGAGAAAAAAAATCAACAAAATCAAAAGCTGATTTTTTGAAAAGGTCAATAAAAATTGATAAACCTCTAGCAGGTTAACCAAGAAAACAAGAAAGAAGATGCAAATTATTAATATTAGAAATGAAACAAGGGGCGCCTGAGTGGCTCAGTCAGTTAAGCGTCTACCTTCAGTTCAGGTCATGATCCTGGGGTCCTGGGATTGAGCCCCTCCTGCAGCTCCCTGCTCAGTGGGGAGTCTGTTTCTCCCTCTCCCTCTGCCCCTCCCCCTGTTTGTGCTCTCTCTCTCTCAAATAAAAAAAAAAAAAAAAAAGAAATGAAACAAGAGCCATCACTATTCACTTTTAACTGATGGATATTAAAAGGGTAATAAATTTTAATGGATTTCATGAACACAGTTATACCCACAAATTTGATAACATAGATGAAAAGAACCAATTCCTTTAAAGACACAACCTACCAAAACTCAAAGAAGAAGAAACAGGTAATCTGAATAGGCCTACATCTATTAAAGAAAATGTATCATCAATCAATTAATATCCTTCCAGGACCAAATGGTTTCAGCAGTGAGTTCAGTAGAGGTTTCAGTAGAAAACAGAAGCAGAGGGAATACTTTGTAAGTACATTAATCAAAAATTAATAGGAGAAACAGACACATCTACAGTTATGCCTAGCAACAGTCTTCTCGGTAATAAAAAGAACAAGGAAACAAAAAATTGGTCAAAGATATATTGAGACTTGGACAACACAGCATCAACTAGTTTGATCTAATTAACATAGAACACTACCCCAAAAGAGCAGCCTACACATTCCTCTCAAGTGCACAACAATCACCAAGACAGCCTTCATTAAGCCTATAAGAACTGAAATTACTCAAAATATGTTCACAGACAATAACAGAATCAAACTAGAAATTAATAGAATGATATTTTGGAATATCACCAAATATTTGGGAGCAACATACTATCTAATGCATGTATCAAAAGAATACCTGAAGAAAATAAATATTTTTAACTGAATGAAAATGAAAATACAACATAGTAAAAGTTTTGGGATGGAGCTGAACAGTTCCTAGAAAGAAACTTACAGCATATACTAGAAATGAAGAATGGTCTTAAATCAGTAATTTAAGGTTCCACTTTAAGAAGCTAGAAAAAGAGCAAAATAAATTGGAAACGACCTTCCATGGATCAATGAATAAACTGTGGTATATCCACACAATGGAATACTACTTAGGGATAGACAGGAACAAACTATTACTACACACAATAACTTGGGACAAATCTCAAGGGCATTATGCTAAGTGAAAAATGCCATGTTCAAAGATTATATACTGTAGAATTTCATTTATGTGTTAGTCTGGAAAAGGCAAAAATATATAAACAAAACAGATCAGCAGTTGCTAAAAGATATGGGTAGGGGAGGATCTGAATACAAAAGACAATATGAAGGAAATCTGGGGGTACTGGAATTATTCTATATCCTGTCTATGGTGGGAATTACAAGAATTCAGGCATGTGTAAGAACTCAGAGAAAGCAGAGACACACATACAAAAAAAGTGAATTTTACTTCTATAAATAAAAAAAAAAATTAGTACAAATGAAAAAAGTCCTTAACTACCTGAAACGCAAGGAAAAGAAAATTCACTCTATATGTCAAATGTTTTATGCTATCATAGCAGTATTATTCCTAATAGCCAAAAAGTAAAACCAACCCAAATGGCCATCAACAGATGAATGGATAAATAAAATGTGGTATATCCAATTGAGTATTATTCAGCCATAAAAATCAATAAATGCATATATATATATATATGCTATAATGTAGATATACTTGAAAACATTAAGTTAAAGAAGCCAGACACAAAAGGCCATATATCATCATGAGTTATTTATATGAAATGTCCACAACAGGCAAACTTATAGAGATAGTCCATCAGTGGTTTCTAGGGCTGAAGGAGCTAGGGGGAAATGGGGAAGGGTGGTGACTGTTAGAGACTTTCTTGGGGTGCTAAACTGTTCAAAATTGATTGTGGTAATGGCTGCACAACCATGTGAATATACTAAAAACCACTGATTGTATACTTTAAAATGGGTGAATTATATGGTATGTGAATTATATCACAATAAATGTTACCCCCAAAAAGTAGGCAGATTGCTTGGGTGAGGGGAAGGGTTTCAATTCAGCTCCAAATGTATCCTCACCTTAGAGTCCTTGAATGGAAAACTCAGTACCGACAAATCAAATTACTTACATTTTGTTCAATACTGTATCCCCAATTGTCAGCATAGTGCTAGCTCACTAAACACTTATAAACAGAGTACACTTACGCATTTTATGCAACAGATATCATATTCAAAATTAATTAAACTGAGTGTAGAGCAGGAACAATGCATTCTGAGACAGTGTAAATCTACATCTCTTAGAGCATATTTTAGCTTTAATGGTTTTTAGTTTTCTATTTCATCTCCGTGTATCAAAGGGTACTTGCCCTCCTCCAAAATGTATATTGTGGCTTTTTTTTTCCAACCTTTATAGAGATTTATCATATTTAACTTTGGTACCAAAAGTATTTTTGCATAGCCACTAGTACTACTATTTAATGAACACTGTGATAGTGTTACAGAATATTTTAATTTATAACAATGACAAATATTTTTAAATAACCTAATTGTCACCTCAAATAAGATATTTCAACTCCTGTAAACAGCGTGGTTCACAAAATACTGACAAAATATACCAAGTCCTTGTGTGCCAGCTAAAGTGGCACCACAAGGTAGAAAAAGAATAAATGATGTACAATTCAGGTCTGTGCATCAGTACTGAAAGTATTTTTCAGTTTGAAGTTTTAAAGTAAGTAAATTTTAAATCAATAACTAATTATAAGTTTTGCACATAAGAGGCCATGTTTAAATCACTGTTTAAATTTGTATAGTCCAAATTTTTATTGATAGGACTATACTGTACTTGTTGAATGAATAGCCACATGATAAAGCCTCTACAGCTAGGAATCAGAGTAACAGCCATTAAATACTTTGTACTTCCAATGAGTCCAGGGAAACTGTTAAGTGATTTAAAATACACTTTAGATTGAACATAGGCCAATGCTGCAAAAACTTCAGATTTCCACAAATAAATCTATTTGGTTATAAATGAGAAAGTGGTATCGTTACATCAGCTGATGGCCATTAATTGTATGTGTACTGATGAATTAAGTTTAAACCTACACATCCCAGGTGACCAGCTAGACTCCTCAGAGTCAGACTATCAAGAACAATAAATTTCTTAAGAGTCAGACCATGTGTTACACCACATCTCTTTCTAGCCACATGTCCTTTAAATAAACCACTACATTTGTAACTAATTCCAGAACTCTACTTCATTTTAACCATCTCTCAAACAAACAAACAAACAAACAAACAAACAAACAGTATTACTTGAGGGGGCAGGAACATTCTGAATACATGCCAGTATTAGATTGTAAACAATTACTAGACAGGGACCTTGTCTTCTATTTTCTGTGGAATACAAACTAAGATAACCAAGGTGTTGATCGCTATTAAAAATATCACTGTAGTTGAGCTAAGAAAGTAACCAAATCATGAAATTGACAAAGCAAGGTATAGGCCAAGGGAACTAGGTCTCAAATGTTACTTCCTATCCACTCTGCCCACCACAGAATAAACTAACTTGTATGAAAAATGAACTACTTAATATCATTCTTAGTATTGTAGTAAACACTCCTAAGAGTATCTGCTCAGTCCATCTCTCCCATCCCCACAAAAATCCAACATACACATAGGGGTGAACTTTTACAGTCCTCTATGTAGAACAAAATTCCTCCTCCTCTGGTCAAAGCTGATTGGTAGATGCCTAATCCATTTTCTCGCCACAATACATTATTACCATTTGGTAAGAACATTCTAGTCTACTGCATCCCATCAACAAAGGCAACTGACCAGAAGGAAAATAATGGAGATTCTCTTACTTGAGAGTCCTGAACTTTTTGAAATTCTGATTGAAAGTCTTCCCCATTTCCATTGTCCTCATCAGTATCACTGCAGACTCCACAAAAAAATGTAGGTGGAAGCTTTAATGTATCTGCTTTGGCCTTCTCTTCAATTGTTGGTTTCTTTTCCCAAACAATAACACATTCTTTTTCATTATCTGAAAATCCCACAGAACACAAGCAAAAGAAAGTTACAAGAAGTCCCAACTACTCTCCAAGAATGTTTCTCAATATAATGCACAGATTACAGACCCAGATAGCAATACCTATGAGTAGTAATGGAGAACAAGAATCACCAAGAAAACAATGTTTTACATTTCATATTATTTTCAAATATTTTAAACACGAGAGGAATAGTACATAGGTAAAATTGGTAATTATAAAAATGATCAGATTAAAAGATTCCTTTTAAATAGAAGATTTTTTAAAAACACTGTAACTAGTGGGGCACCTGAGTGGCTCAGTTGGTTAAGTGTCTGATTCTTTGATTTCAGTTCAGGTCATGATCTCAGGGTTCTGAGATTGAGACCCACACATCAGGCTCCGCATTGGGCATGGAGCCTGCTGAAGATTTTCTCTCTCCCTCTGCTCCTCCCCCTCCCTTTCTCTCTCTCCTTCGAATGAATGAATAAATAAAATTTATAAGAGCATTATAATTAGTAATTTTAACATACCTGTTAGCTTTTCTTCTAATGGTCTACATTTTTCTGAGTCATCCAGATAAAGTTTTCCATTAAGTTTCTTGACAGCTGTTTCGAAATCTTCATCTTAAAGTATAATTGATTTTATTAAACAAAAGGAATTTCTAGTAAGTTCCAGGAATTTTTCTAGCCAGAAATCTAGGAATTATCCTTCAACTTCATACTTTCCTTTACTCCCCACATTGAAAGAACACCCAATTTTGCCAATTCTATATTCCTAATGCCTCCCCTGTCATTAGAGAAATTTCATTCAGGCTCTCCTCTTGTTTGAGCTACTCTATCATTTTAGTTCATCTTCCTATCTCCATGTCCCACAACCCAATCCTCTACACCACTAAACTCAACTGGTCCTATTAAAACTTTTCTGAGCATGGAACACCCCTGCTAAAAGACTGTGATCTGGCTCACAAAGTTTTCCATCATCAAACACCCACCTGCCTCATTACTCTCCCATCCCTCTAAGTCAACAGGGAAATTAGGATCACTTTCAATTCTCAAAATGCCTGCTCAACTTATAGTAGCCATCCACAAAATCCTCACTTAATAAATGCAGTTGTTTCAATCATTACATCCATTGACTATTTGCAACACATACATTGAGGAAAAACATCTTACCCACAAGGACAGCAGTGATGGGTTCCAAGAGGCAGGCTTAAAATAATTTAACCATACCTCCCCCCCATTACTAAGATTAGCATGAAAAGAATGTGTTTAAAATAACAAAAGAGTTACCATCCTCTTCTTCTTCACTAATATAATCCGGATTATTCTTATAGCAGAAGAAAGTTGGAGGAAGTTTAAGTTTGCTTGCAAGAGCTTTTTGCTCAGGGGTGGGTGTTAACTCATATACAATGAGAACTTCATCATCTGAGGAAGGATCTTCAGGTTTTTCCTTCTCTTTTGCTATAAAGCAAGTCCAAAAAATTATAAAGATATTAAACAGGTATTAACATCAATATCTTAGCTGAAAATAAAACCATGGAACTTATCTTTAAGTTAAAATAGCATAGTGATGAAAACACAAACTTTGATGTGGACAGAGCTCTGTAAATAATTAGAAACCTGATTTAACGTTCTGTCAAAACGCTTAGTGAACACAGAATCTATTTAAAACCAAAAAAATACTGCATTTACTCATTGATCATTGAAAAAAACTACTATTAATGGCTATAATTGTGAAAGGTATTTAAATAGTGCTGCCGTAACGATACTTGGCATACTAAACAATATCTTAGCAAAATATCCATGCATTTGCAACTGAAAAAACTTACAGAAATTATGAGCAAAGATTAGTATAAAACTAATGCAAAGCTAACCTTGATTAGTTCCTACAAGGAAAGTTAACAACTGCCAAGGATGGTGGGTGATGAGTTACATCCAGTTTTGCGTATTTCCAAGCATAACATATAAAACTAAATTAAAACCACTGTTATCCTAGGGGTAAGTAATACTGTAAGAATCTAAGACGATTTTTATAGCTGAAAAACAACAACAAAAAAAGCAAAACACAAAGAAAAAAGGGATTCTTCATACAATACACTGCGGTCTATAAAGAGGATATCTGGCAAAAGGAACAGATAAAACAAATCATGTATAAACTGGTGCTGTCCAAGATGGTATTTAGCCACTTGTGGCTATTAAGCACTTGAAATGTGGCTAGTCCAAACTGAGTCCTGCTCCAAGTATAAAAATACACACTGGGGACACCTGAGTGGCTCAGCTGGTTAACCATCCAACTCTTGATTTCGGCTCAGGTCTTGATCTTGGGATCATGAGATTGAGCCCTGTGTCGGGCTCCACACTCAGTGAGGAGTCAGCTGAGATTCTCACTCTTCCCGCCTCTCTCTCTGCCCCTCCCATTCGTGAGCACATTCTCACTGGCTCTCTCCCCCTCTTAAAAAAAAAAAAAAAAATACACGGACTTTGAAGACTTCGTACAAAAAAAAAAAAACCACCTAAAATATGAAGTTTCTCATTATTTTTTATACTTATTAAAACTTGAAATGGTATTTCAGATATAATGTAATGGAATAGATTAAAATTAATTTCATCTGCTTTTTTTCACCTGTTTCTTTTTATTCTATTTTTTAATGTGGCTATTAGAAAATTCTAAATTATATACACAGGTCATATTTGATGTGATCTAGAGAACTAGAGCCCTTTTACAATGTTAAACTTGCCTTTTACTCTCCTTAATTAGAAAACCAGAGTATCAATTACAACAGTGAAAGATACAGATTCTTATTCCAATTCTGCTATTAGCTGGTAAAGACAACTTGGGCATTTCAGATAGCCTGGCCAAGCCTCAGTTTCTTCATGTCTGAAACCTCAATCTCTACGGTCCTTTGGGACCATGACATTCTTGGACTTGAAACAGAATAAGGCTCTTTGTCCTACAGTAGTATACTGGTAAATCTGCTCTTAGGCTAGGGATTCTTAACCTAGGGTCCCAGAATGTGCATGCAAGTATATGTCATTTACAGGAAAAAGTCCACACTTTTCACATAATTTCCCAAAGAATACATCCTTAAGAATGAGGGTTAAAAGCTTCTTTAGCAATCAAGGATTGTCATTTTATCATTGAACATAGTTGTGTTGCTCAAGATACGTTATTAGATACTAATAGAGAGTTTTATTTCCCTAACCTTGATCTTGAAGGTCTTCAACAGAAGCCCCACTTCCTATTATTCCACTCTAATACCAACATTTACTTTTATAACATACCAAGTATATAATGTTGGCTGTTAAAAATGGCATCTACTTTCAAATAGGATATTTTTCTAAACCCTGTCCAAAAGGATAACCTTAAAGGGAAACTCTGTTCCATGTGTATACATGCCGTGTATACATGCCAGCAGACATTACTGGCTAACGATAAATGTTAGAAAAAACACAGGTCAAAAAAAAAAAAAAGAAAAAACACAGGTCTTCATCAAGCAGAGTTGAAAATAACAGAATAATGAAGTACAAAGCAGTGAAAGGTAAAGACCACATGGATCTACCTGAAAATAATGTTGTACAATAGTGAGAAAACATATCATCCAATTAAAAAAAAAACCAGCATTAAACAGTGTTATATACCACCAATCAAAAAAAGTACTTGTTTAAACAGACATTCTTTTAACATGCACACTTTAGTGTTAAGTACTTAATTTCATACAGCCAGTTACTTTGCTAAGGACTACCAGCTGCTAAAAAAAACTGACGTCATCTCATACTGAGAATACTAGCTCTATACCTTTGTTCTCAGGCTGTGAGGAAGGGATGCTCGTCCAAAAAGCCATTGGATTAGATTTAAAAAGGCTAAAATTAAATCCTAGAAAATAAAGAGTATTTAATTTTTGAACATTCTGAGAATCAAAGTGAATGTGATTTTAAAATATAAAAAGCCAGAGTCCTTCAATTTATACCAATTTGGCTGTCTTACATATTCATTTATCCTGGAAGTTTCATTCTTTGTTCATTTAATAGTGGCAAGACTACCTTATATAACATATAAACATCTCAGTACCATGTTTTTTGAGTGACAAGAGAATAGTACATTGAAGAATGAACACTTAAAAAAAAAAATCAAACCTGAGCTAATGCTCATGATTCAAGTACATGAGGCACTAAACTTTGGTACTGTATTAGGTTCTTGTTCTCTGCACGAAACATGATATAAATATCTTCCAGTTAGTGAGATCTCCTAAATAACTTATACACACATTCTCTGTTGCTGTTTAAACAGTAACAGGGAAACAGATTTAGGGAGAAAAAAAATCTGTACCATTATTTTTTTTTGCTGTTGACAAAGCACTATGTTTATGACCCAACATTTACTAAAACATTAGTATCCTACAGAGTATATGCATTAAGCAAAATATTTACAAATCAATGGACGAAAAATTCTGCTTATACTAAAAACTAAGTGCTTACCCTTTTCTGGTGTTTTAAATGTGCAATCAGTTGAGGACTCTTCCTTTGGAAAAGCAAAGAAATTTTTTACTTTGCCATCTGAAGATTGTTTGCTATTGGAATTCTTCGACTCTTCACAATTAGGTTCCACTTTTCTTTCAGATCCACTCTTGACTACTGAACTAATTTCACTACTATTTTTCAAAGGTGCATTAAAACTAAATCCAAACAAAGACCCAGTGGCTGAACTGTTGCCAAATGCAAACGGTTTTGATTTTTCACTACTAAAAATACTTTTAACGGACTCTGAACCAAATACAAACTTTGGAGGAGAAACCACTGCTTTTGTTGTTGCTTCAGATGTGCTAGATGCTTCTCCAACTTCTGAAGTTGCATCTGCTGTGTCGTCACCCTGAATTAAATCTGTCCTCTCTCTTGTGGTTTCTTCTAATACAGCTACAGCAATTTTGCCACATGGCGACTCTCTGGGAGTGGTTGAATGAGAAACCTGAGGTGTTATCAAAGAATCTTTTTCTTGGGCAATTTTTGCTTCATCAAATATTTTCTTAAATGAGTCTGCAACATCCTGTAGTTTAAAACGGACAGCTAAATGTTCTACTTTTCTTTCCCCATCTGCAAAATCACAAGCAGTCCACACCCACACTCGTTCTGTCCCTTTCATATTTTGCAAAGTCATGTCTGGAGTTATTCTGTGATTGGCACAAAGTTTTAATACCTGGTCCCTTCTCATCACGATGCGAACTTGCTTATTATCATAATTCTGTAAAATCTTTATATCACCAATGCCTCTTTCTTTCCACTGACCAACATCTTTATCATACCTATAGAGTTTTGCTCTGTGACTAAAAACAACTTGTTCATTTTCCTCACCACTGGACACTTCCACTAGATCAGGTAAAGGTACAACAGGTTCAAAGTACTGTCCATCTCTCTCTTCTTCCTGAGTAACATCAGATTCTTCATCAGTGCCAACTGAGGTCCCACTCTGATTCAACTTGGCAGGAGACTTAGATGGACTCAGAGCAGATTTAAAACTGAAGTTAAATCCTGTTGTTGACTCACCAAAGCGGAAGAGATTTTTCCTCACAGGGCTACTTGCCAATGGAGAAGCATGTACTGAGCTACTACTCACACTACCATCCAAAGCATCTTCCCTTAAGTCATAGTTGTCCCACTCCAGTGTGGGCCCCGTGTTTTCGGGGTTTGGCTTGCTGGTTGTATCAGAGGCACTGGCAGTGCCTGCATCAGAGCTCTCACTCTCTCCATCAGTGACTTTTGTTTGATCATTTGTCAAAAACGTTTTGAAATCTTTTAATCCACTCTTCATTTCTTCTGCTCTCTGGATTAACTTGGCAGCTCTGCCAGTGTCTACAAGTTTATGAGGAGTCTGAAGTGGTATATCTAATAGAAGTCGCTGGCATTCCTCAAATTTCTGCTTGAATTCTTCAGCCAGCTCTGGTGTTTTAAATTTTGCTGCCAGCTGCTCTAGTTTGGCATCACCATCAGAAAAATCACTCGCTAACCACATCCATGCTCTATCGGACCCAGAGAGAGGCTTCAGGTTCATCGTAGTTGTTATCCAATGATTAGCACACACTTTTAGTACCTGTTCTCTTCGCATCAGCATTCGCAGTTTGCCATTGACTTCATTCTTGAGAATTTTTAAGTTCCCCAGACCCCTTTCTTTCCACTGACTTATCTCAGCATCAAATCTAAATAATTTTACCCGCTGTGAATAAAGAACTTTTTCATCTTCTTCTCCTGTTACAAGTTCCACTTTTTCAGGCATCTGAACTACTGGTTCAAAATGTATGTCATCACTGTCCTCGGTCCGATAGGCATCATCATCTTTCTCAAGGTCAGCAGAAGTGTCGGCTTTATCAGCCATTTTACCACTTTGTGATGAGAATAATTTTTCTCCCGCACCTGAAAATCCCTTGAAATTAGGGTCTTTTTTGCCAAACTGAAATCCTTCTCCTGAAGTTGATTTTGCAAGATCTGCAAAGGTAAAAGTGCTACCACTTGGACCAAAAATCACACCACTACCATTCTTCTGACCACTGATATCCTGAGCCTGAACACCAGTGTCATTTTCAAGGGGCTTTTCACTTTTCTTCTCTTGATTTCCAGGCTCCTGAATGCCAAATTTAAATCCATCAGCAGACATAGGGACAGAAAAACTAAATCCTTCTTTTGTTGACTTAGAATCTGTATTAGAAGAACCCTGAAACGTAAATGAAGGTGTACTTTCTTGATCCACATGCCCAAATTTAAACCCTTGTTCTGCTGTACCAAATTTAAAAGCTTTTTCAGAAAAGTTACTTTTAAATCCTGTTCCAACCTGACTTCCAGAAGAGTCATTTAACTTAATTTTTGAGCCCAATGTGAAAGCTGAAGGAGCTTCTGCACTAGGTTTATGAGCTGGTTTAGAGGCATCACAAGCCACACATTTTAAGGAAGAACTCTCATTTTGCACAAAGCAAATGCTACAATCCCACTGTCCTTCCTTCTTGGTGAACATTCCTTCAAATCCACCCTTTGGAGCCTTGCATGTATCTGATGAGGCCGGAGGTAGAACAGCAGAAGTAGGCTGATTTTGTTTACTTGGATTCTGGCAAGCAACACATGTGGCAGCACTTGCTTCATTTCGCACTAAGCAAATACTGCAGTCCCACTGTCCTTCCTTCTTGGTGAACATGCCTTCGAATCCACTCTTTGGAGTTGTGCTGGTCTCTGAAGTACTAAACTTAAAAGAGGCAGATGCTGGAACAGCAGACGTGGGTAGACTCAGTTTACCTGGATTCTGACAAGCAACACATATTGTAGCACCTGCTTCATTTCGTAACGAGCAGCAACTGCAATCCCACTGTCCTTCCTTCTTAGCAAACATGTCCTCAAATCCACTCTTTGGGGTTTTACTTATCTCTGAAGTACCAAACTTAAAAGAAGCAGGTGCTGCAACAGAAGAAGTAGGTAAACTCTGTTTTCTTGGATTCTGACAAGCAGCACACTTTGTAGAACTTCCTTCATTTTGCACAAGGCATGCAGTGCAATTCCACTGTTCTTCCTTCGTAGAAAATACAGATCTGAAATCACTGTTAACAGACTTAGGAAGATCTCCCTGGCCAAATTTAAAGGAAGCTTGCTGAACAAATGAAGATCCACTTTTGTTAGTAGCCTTTGCATTCTGGCATGCACTGCACCTAGATACAGTAGGTTCATTTCTTACTAAGCAAATACTACAATCCCAGTGACCTTCTTTCTTTGGAGTCATTGACGCAAATCTATCTGGAGTATTTTCGTGGCCAGTTTTAAGAGCAGACACAGTTTCAACTAATGGTGGGCCAAGGAGTTCTTTCTTGTTTGGGTTTAGATTCTGGCATGAAACACACTTCTTAGCAGTTGCAGCATTCTTTAATGAGCAGCTGTTACAATGCCACCAAGACCCTTCTTTCTTTGCAATTTGAAATTCAAAATTCATGTTTCCAGCATCAGAGTTGCAAATATCTTTGTTATCATGACTTGTGGGTTCTTTTACAATTCTCATAGCCTGATTTGTTGTTGTGGCTACATTTGCTCCTAAGGCTTTTAAAATGTTCTGGGCCTCTTCAAACTTGCACTTAAAAAGTGCTGCTTCCTCGGGAGTTTTGAATCTAATAGCAAGTTGTTCTGGTTTGGGCAACTCATCTGCATAATCAAGAGCATGCCATACAAAAGATCTGTCAGAGCCAGCGTTTGGGGTCAATTTCATATCTGGACTGATGTAATGATTTGCACAGATTTTTAATACTTGCTCTCGTCTCATCAGAAGGCGAATTTTACCAGATGTTTTATGCCTTAGGATTTTTACATTGCCAATTCCACGTTCCTTCCATTCTTTGGATTCTGCATCAAAACGAAACAATTTTGCACGATTGCAAAAGAATTCTTCTTCATCTTCCTCACCAGTTTTTACTTCAATCTTATCAGGAAGAGGTACCACAGGCTCAAAGTGAGGGCCGTCATCATCGTCATCACCATGGGCACTCCCTCCATCTGCTTCATGACTCTTATTGGCCAGCTCTGGTGCGGGTGTTCCAAATACTGATTTCCCTGGACCGTGGAAAGTAAACATGTCATCACTTCGACGAAAACCAGAATTCTTTTGCTGATTTGGACCCATGTTTTCAGTAAATGAAATTCCAGGCACATTTTTGCTTCCAAAACTGAATGTATTTCGAGGTCCAATGGTTTGACTAGCTTTTGGTCCACTGTAGCCATCTCCCTGCAAAGGTTTATCTGAAGTTAAGAGACCTAAAAGGCTTTCATTATTATTGTAAGCTGTAGAAGGGGGCTGTGTCACAACCTGCGGTGAAGAAAAGGTAAAGTCACCATCATTTGACTTGAAATTTGAGTTAAATTTAAAAGGAGTTGGCTGTGTTGTATGTGTAGGTGCTGTCAAAGATGGTCTTATTCCTTCACCTGGCACAGGCTGAACAAAATTAGTTTTTCCAAATTCAATAACCTTAGATTCTGCAGATCTTGAAGCATGAGTTGCAACTGGGGGTTTTGTGAAATAACCTGGCTCTGGCAAAGGTGGATTTGTGCTTGTCTGTTGAACATTGTAATTAAAGTAATCATCACCCCTGGGTGACAGAATTCCTGTTGCAGGAGACTCAAAACGCAATGGAGGACCATACATCTCTTGAGAGAACATACAAGCAGATGAGCTTTGGACTGGTGGTGTGTGCATCTGTTGGGAATAGGCATATATATGTTGTTGAGGTGGAAGCCTATTCATGCCATAAACTGGACCCTAAAAGAAAAAAAAAGTTAAAAATTTTTGTAGGTTGTCTACAAAACTGCAGATAACTAGATACAAACCAATTCTCATAAACCACAAACATGAGTGTTATAAGGTAAAGATATCATTAGGGTATGTACCACAGCATTAAGAGAAGACATTACTTACAAAGATACTTACAGTTATACTCCTTTCTTGGCATATAACGGAAATTGCCTTAACTAATAACAGTTAAAAATCCAATTCTACAATAAACGCATAGAAAAAATTTCTTCTTCATTCCTAAATAATGTGTCAAATGATGTTAACAATAATGATGATGATGATGGAGACTAACATTTATCGAGCATTTACTAATGTGCCAACTGGGCACTGTTCTAAGCACTTTACATAATATCTCATTTTAATATCCTCAAAAACCCTATGAATTAAGGGATTATTATCCTCATTTTACATATGAGGCAACTAATGCATAGAGAGATTAACAAACTTGCCCAAGGTCACAGCGAGCAGAAGAGCCAGGGTCTAAATTCACCCAAGCCATCTGTCTTCAAAGCTTCATAGCTCAACTATGGTTGTAATAATGGTTGTTAATAGACCCCTACATAGCCACTTTGGCCTGAAGTACTTACCACATAGTGGTTCAGCAAGGCCATTCTAGTCCTATTTCCGCCAAAACAAAATGATGAAGGACCCATCACCACCACCACCACCCCCCATTTAGAAAATATTCTAAATGTTCACACTTATTTTAACATAAAAATAAGATGAGTAAGAAGCATAACTTCTATATCTGGAAAGAAATTTAAAATATCTGTATCTTATGGGACATAAAAGTTTAATGCTGAACTACTTCTTGAATTTCTTTGAAGGAAGCCTGAACAATTAAAAAGGAGATATTTATAAATGTATAAATTATTCCTTTGTTACCTTTGTGGGAGTAACATTAGCTGCTGGTCTGAGAAGATACTGGGAATTATATGCTGGTGACTGACTATAATATACTGAAGGGCCAGTAGTTGCAACTAAAAAAAAAAAAAAAGAAAAAAAAAGAAAAGAAAGAAAACAGTTAAAAAAGTCTATACTACAGTTAAGACTATCTAGGCAAGAACTATAAATTACAAAAGCAATAGAAATCAAAGAAAGATTTAACTATAGATTTTTTTTTAAATTTCTATACATCAAAATATACCATAAAGAAGATTATCAAATGACAAACTAGGAAAAACCCCTAAATACGACACATGAGGAATAAGAGAGCAGCACCACAGTGGTCAACAAGAACAAGCGCCTCACAACAAGCATCAAAAAAGGAGCCAAGAAGAAAGCGTTTGGTCCATTTTCTAAGAAAGACTGGTATGATATGAAAGCACAGTCTATGTTCAACATCAGAAATACTGGGAATACACTAGTCACAGGAAGGACTTAAAGAACCAAAATGCATCTGATTGGCCTCAGGGCAATGTTTTTAAAATGAGCCTTAAAAATTTGCAGAAAGATAAGACTGCATTTTATAAACTCAAGCTGAAAATGTTCCATTCAAAAATCACCTGATAAATTCATGCAAAGAGTCTCACGGGTAACACAAAATGTGTTCCTTGGCTTTTAAAAAAAAAGGGCACATCATGACTGACACTCATGTTGATGTCCAAACTATTTGTTCAGTTTTGTATGAGTTTCACCAGGAAACTAACAACTAGAAGACACTCATGTTCATAGCAAAGCTTAATTTGTTTTATGAAAGTTTTATCAGAAAACAACTTAAAGACCATTTATGCCGTGACATGGAAGAAATGGAAATTGTGACCCAAGAGGTGCTAAACAATTGATTCTCTAGAAAGCCCTGAAAAAGACCTAGAAAAGACTAGTCAGTCTATTTATGTTCTCTTTACAGTGACTAGAAAAGTAAAAATTGCTAAAGAAGCCCAAGTTTGAATTTGGAAAACTAATGGAACTGTAAAGATGGTTATTTTGGAAACATTCTGGGGAGAAAAAAGGAACAGAACACAGAACAAGCTGATGGATATGAGCCAAGAATCATAACGTCTGAAAATTTAACTAGTGACTTTATCGTGACTAGTGACTCTTAATAGTGAAAAAAAAATTAGAGTTCTTATAAACCTACTAAAAATAATCTACTAGGAAAAAAGTACCAAATAAACAGATAACTCAGAAATATAAAAGATTATAAAGTGTTGAACACGCCCAGTATAAAAAATAAAAACTGATACCATTTTTGTTTTTAAAAATTGGTGAAGGTTTTTAGAAACCGATAATCGTTAACACTAAGCAAGAATGCAATGAGATGGGCACTATCAGATAATGGTGGTAAAAGAATGTAAACTGGCATAGCTTTTCCGGAAAGCAATTTTCCAACCTAGAAGAATTTTTTAAATACACTAACAATCCTAAGAATGTGTCCACAGCATTATTTATAACCGCAAACTGGAAATAATAAAGGAATAAAATTTGCAGTACTTCTACGTGATGCAAAAACCTGTATTCATTAACTGTATTTTCAAAAAATATTTAAGAAAAATGCTCAGAACTCTAATATTTAAAAAACAGACTACTCATCTACATACAACATAATAATGATAAAAATCTCACTAAAAATTCTTTACATATACAAAGAGAAAGGACCAGAAGGAAATGCTCCAAAAATGTTAATAGCACTCTATGTGGTAGTTTTTAGTTTACTAGTACTTCTGAATATTTCCTATAAGCTTATTAATCATTGTTTTTAATCACTTTCTTTTAAAAAGACAAGGAACATCTTGGTATACTTTTACTTTCATTAAGAAAAATAAATCTGTGAGCACAGGAATGCAAAACAGGGGACTTGAGCTCTCTACCTTTCAGGGCCACAAAGCTGCTTTGCGACCTTGTCAATCAGCTGTTTGGGGTCTCCATTTTTCTCAACTGTAAAATGAGGATGTGCTGCTTCTATACATTTCATAGGGTAATTGCAAGAATAAAATGAGACAATGTGAATGTTATGTTTAACAACCAGAAGACCTTTTATGTCTGTACACAGAAGAAATGGAAATTGTGACTCAAAAGGTGCCAAATGATCAATTCCACACAGCACTGAAAAAGCCCTAGAAAAGGCTAGCCAGTTTACTTATCTTCTCTATGCCAGGCTCTACACAGTGCACAGGGTTTTTAAGTGAGCAATGTGTGAACTGTTGACACATCTCATATATTTATTTAACCATGACTCATGACATTTAATAAGTCTGACTTTACAAAGATTTCCTATTATTTTGCCTACATTAAAAGACACTGTCAAAAGAGGATAGTGAGGCTGCTTTCAGTACGGCCTGATGGACCATCACATAAATGTGCTCATCTAAACTGGAACATACTATTCTAAATCTTCCCCGGGTTAAAACCAGTTAGGAAAAAAACAGCATACTACTACCATTTCAGGAATCTATCTCATGTCAAGGAAACCTGTTTTTATCAACATTTCTGGCTGCCTGTGGGCAATACATCATAAGACCACTGAAGTTTGAACTCTGGCTCTACCAATAATTAGCTATACAATAATGGATAAATTACATAACCTTTCTAAACCCATTTCCTCATCTATAAAAATAGAATTCATGGGGCACCTGGGTGGTGCAGTTGGTTAAGCGTCTGCCTTCAGCTCAGGTCACGATCCCAGAGTCCTGGGATCAGGCCCTGTGTTTAGGCTCCCTGTTCAGCAAAGAGACTGCTTGCTTCTCCCTCTCCCTCTGCCCCTCCACCCCCTGCTCATGCTCTCCTCTCAAATAAATAAAAAATCTTAAAAAAAAGTTCATAATGGTATCTACCATTCTGGGTTACCATGATTAAAGGAAATTACATGCACAAAGCACTTCTGCACACAGACAACCCACAGGACACCCTTGGTTCATTAAGTGTTTACTACACACTCTAACACACCTACACATACACAAATGCTCACAATAATGAGAGGCAAGTTTTATCTCCACATTTCAAACACACAAACTGACTCAAGAGGTCACTATGTACTAGAGAGCACAACTTCAAATTTCAATATGGCCCAGCTCCAACTCCTTCCTTCTTTGTATGACCATGGTATTTCAAAATGAATGTCATACCTTAAGTATATCACCAAAATAAATCCTGAGGTTTTATTTGGCCATCTCTTAATGCACAACAATATCAGGTAACATTTTCCAAAAGCCAGGAATAGTTCTACCTCAGTCTTAAGCTTCTCTGACATATGTATTAAAGGATCAGATAAAGCTTGTTTTGTTTCTGCTTAGAGTTATAAAAATCTCAGTAATACCAAACACGGCTTAAGAAACATATAAGCAGACATGTATAAACATGTATATAAACAAATATATATAGACAAGGTGAGTTCACAAGTTATCTGTGTAGAGGAGGAGGAAGTACAGTGACTTTACTAAAATCTGGAATTACCCAGTTTCAAACTAACCTGTTAGTGGAGCCCCATGAAAAGTCTGTGATCCCTGATATCCATCAGGCACGGAATCTGGTCCATAATTCTCTGCAGGCCAACGATGAGGGGACCCTGAGTTACTACTATGTAGTTTCAACTCCTGCATTTCTTTCTGTTGGAAGGAAGAAAACAACTATAAGCAACTGTACCATGCCAGAAACAGTGCCAGAGCAAACAAATATTTTAAATACTTTAAATACTTGATGGTGTGTTTTTAGAGATTCGATATCCCAGTAAGATCTGTATATCAGGTGCTCATTTAAGAAAATGATCCTTAATTTGTTAAAACCAATTTATTTCCTCCCATTCTTTCATTCCTTAATACCATATTACCTAATTCATTCTAGAGTTAGCTATCACCTAAACTGATAACCTCCTAGATGGCTTCATCTCCATTTCCACTCCATACTTGCCTACATTAATCTTTCCAAAGTTGAGGGTATTTTTTTTTTTAAGATTTTATTTATTTATTTATTTATTTGAGAAAGGGGGGAGCGAGAGACAGCAAGCCAAGGGGCAGAGGAAGAGGGAGAAGCAGACTCCTCACTGAGCAGGAAGCCCAATGGGGGGGGGGGCTCAATCCCAGGACCCTGGGATTCTGACCTGAGCCAAAGGCAGACACTTAACCAAATGAACCACCCAGGTGCCCCTAAAGTTGAGTTCTAGCCAAGACACCTCCCTGTTCAAAAACACAAGTACCTACAAATTAAACTCTGATATTCTTGGTCCTCAGAAGTACTGCCCCAAACACCCTTCCGGCACCTCCTTTCACCGTTGCTTTCCTCTCCGGTCCATCTAGGCTACTCAATGTTCCAAATTACCTCCCAATACTAGCTTTCCACCTACACACAACTGATGTAACAAAACACTACAAATCCTTCAAGGTTGATGCTCTAATGATTCACTAGGGAAGGGAAAATAATTGATACCTGCTCAGAATATATTATGTATATAATAATATAGTCCAGGCATTTTACTTAAATTCTCAATCCTTACACACATAAGCAGTATTAATTCACATTTTAGAAAAAAAAAAGATGCAGGAAATAGCATAGCTGGAATTCAAACCAGATTTTACTCCAAATATTATGAAAACATAATACCACTCTGCTGCCAACACAGAGGACACACTGCTTTCTAATGGTAACTATGTGGCTACTTACCAGATCTCTGTTGTTTTACAGACAACTAAATGACTACACCCTCCCCAACCCCAGAAATTACAAAACTTCCCTTACAAAACAGGCACTTATCTTTTTCCAAAGAAACTACAGTGGTATCAGTCAACACTCATTTTTGAAAACAGTATCAAGTATCTGTATATGGGTCCAGGGATCCAACCAGCTGTAAGTGACATCACAGACACATACAGCATGTCTGCTTTCTCCTTCTGAAAGTGGTTCCAAATAGGTATTTCCCAAAAGCCATAAACACGGAGATCAAAGCTATCTTGAATTTTCAAGTTAAATAAATTATTCCCCATTCATCCATCTACCGTATTTAGCCCAGATGCTACACGTCCAAAAAAATAAGAAACTGATGGAATCACCTGGAAAAACTGAGTAGTCACTATAGTTCTAAACATGCAATTAATGCTATAACCATAATTTTAAAAATTCAAACAACTAGAAAATGTGTTAAGAACTGGTTTCAACAATTCCCACATTTCAGATGAGAAGCCAAGCAAAGTAAAGAAAATGTAAAGAAATGCCTGGCTCAAGAGCATTAATTAGTGGCAGAGTTAGTCCTAAAACCCAGTTTTTCAGGAACACAGAGTAATGTTCCACTATACTTCCAAAGAATACAACGCTGGGTGCCTAAACCCATAAGATAAGCCAAGATGGTATGTAATATTAATAGGCCACGGTTATATAAAATTAACATACAAAATTTTTGTACAAATTCAAAATTTTGTTCCCCTCCAAACAGCACTTTTGTTAAGTCTCACACATTGCTGATAACACTATAATAACTGCACACATCACGATATCCTTGCTGTAACTTCAAAAGTATAGGTGCTTTAGTTCTTGCCCAATGAGCATGAAACAACCTACATGTACTTCCAATTCCAAAGAAGTAGATAAAGCTCCTTTGAGCCTAACAAGATTACTTTCATACAGCTAAAATAAGATCATGAATCATAACCATTTCCTTACATATTAAGTTAAATTCTTATGAAAGTACTAAAAAGATAGACTTTTTGAAACTTAGACCACATACCAATATCTAGCTATAAAAAATGACACGCACAACCAATCAGTCTGAGAAATGAACTCCTAGACCAACTTATGATTAGTTTTATTTCACTAGTTCAATTCAATCACTTGGGAACCACCTCTACGTCAGGAATGCTGCTATATTTTGGATTAAAGAGTCTTTCCCTTTGAAGGATTCACACCTGGTAGAGGAAGCAGAAACAAGTAATTTCAAAAATATGTTAAGGCCTAAAGACACATGAAAAGATGCTCAACATCACGGAAACGCAATTCAAAACCACAATGAGATACCACCTCACACCTGTCAGAATGGCTGAAATCAAAAACACAGGAAACAGTTAAGTGTTGGCAAGGATGTGGAGAAAAAGGAATCTTCATACACTGTTGGTGGGAATGCAAACTGGTACAGCTACTGTGGAAGACAGTCTGGAGGTTGCTCAAAAATTAAAAACAGAACTACCAGTAATCACACTACTGGGTATTTACCCAAAGAATATGAAAACACTAATTCGAAGAGATATATGCACCCCTATGTTTACTGCAGCACTATTTACAATAGCCAAGATATGGAAGCAGCACAAGTGTCCAATGATAGATGAATGTATTAAAAAAAAGACGTGGTATATATATATAATGGAATATTATTCAGTCATAAAAAGAACAAAATCCTACCATTTGCAACAGTGTGGATGGATCTAGAGAGTATAATACTAAGCAAAATAAGCCAGAGAAAAATACCATACGATTTCACTCGTATGTGGAATTTAAAGAAACAAAATGGGGGAGGGGACCAAAAAAACAGACTCAACTACAGAGAACAGATGGTTATCAAAGGGGAGGTGGGTGAAGGAATGGATGAAAGAGGTGACAGGGATTAAGACTACATTTATCTTGGTGGGAATGCAAACCGGTGCAGCCACTCTGGAAAATAGTATGGAGGTTCCTCAAAAAGTTAAAAATAGATCTACTCTACAACCCAGCAACTGCACTACTAGGTAGTTACCCAAAGGATACAAACATAGTGATTCAAAGGGACACATGAACCCCAATGTTTATAGCAACAATGTCCACAAGAGCCAAACTATGGAAAGAGCCCAGGTGTCCATCAATAGATGAATGGATAAAGAAGATATATGTGGTATATATATATACAATGAAATATTACTCAGCCATCGAAAAGAATGAAATCTTGCCATGTACAATGACGTGGATGGAACTAAAGGGTATTATGCTAAGTGAAATATAAGTCAAAGACAAATACCATATGATTTCACTCATGTGGAATTTAAGAAACAAAACAGATGAACATACGGGAAGGAAAGTAAAAATAAAATAAGAGAGGCAGGCAAACCATTAGAGATTCTTAACTGTAGGGAACAAACTGAGGGTTGCTGGGGGGATGGGGAGGGATAACTGAGTGATGGGCATTAACGGCACTTGATGTAATGAGCACTGGGTATTATATGTAACCGATGAATCACTAAATTCTATCCCTGAAACTAGTAATATGTTAACTGAATTCAAATAAAAAAGTGAAAAAAATAAAAAAGAATACATTTATCTTCATAAGCACTGAGGAACATACAGAATTGCTGAGTCACTATATTGTACACCCGAAACTAATGTAACGCTATGTTAACAACACTGGAATTAAAGTTTAAAAAATTAAAATTAAAATTAAAAAATAGGAGAAATAATATGGTTAAGTGTCAAGGTAAACTATACAAAACAGTATGACTCTATACTAGCATGGCAAAGGGACATTTTGAACAGCTTTACAAGGAAGTGAGGAGTGGTCAAGGAAGAAATCTTGAAATAAGAGAGGCAGTTTAGAGATATTAAGTGATTTACCTTAATGGCCTCTACTTGTTGGCAGATCATTTTCAATAAAGAATTTTGATCTTCTGCCCATCGAGGTGGTGTTTTGGGAGAATACTAAAAAAAATAACAAAAAAAGTATTTAAGACATTGAGAACAGAAACATTCTGCACTGGAGTGATTCATTTTATTTCTACTTACCTTGTAACTTTTACTTGGTGATAGAGAATATATGCTGGGAGATGGTGTAGAATGTTTTATTTCTGAATCTGCATTTCGCAAAGAACCATTTTTATAAAGAAGACCTCCTTCACTATAGTCCTCAAGTTCCTGCATGACCAAATTAAGCATCTCTTTTACAGACTCCAGTGGCACAGGCAACTAAAAACAAAAGGCATGAATCAAAGACTTTAGTTTTGCAAAAAATAAACTAACAACTCTGAAATAAATACAAAGACTTTATTAATTTACTTTTATGTTCTCACTTTTGTCTAATAAGCACTTTATACTTTACAACGGAACACACAAGAAACGGTTGTGTAATCTAAAGTCTTCTGACTCTAAAGTCTACAATGTTCCTGTCCCTTCTGTTAACCATAATAATGGTAGAGGAATGTTAACTTGCGAAGTTTTTCCACATGAACAAAATAAGCTACTGATTTTTATTAATTTTGAGTGGGGAGAGAAACATAGATGCTAGAATGTACCAGGTAATAACAATCCTAATGTAAGAGCAGCAACATGAATTAATCAACAAAATACTTGGAAGGTTGAACATAACTAAAGTAATACCATCATGACAGTCTCAACTGCTGAGAGTTAGAAAAAAGATAACCCATACCAAATGGTAAAGATGAGAAGAAATGCTCTGAAGGTGTCAGCAACTACTTTCAATTTCAGTGAAATGTTTAACTGCCAAATTCATTAACAACCGGTGCTTAGGCTGCAATATTTGCTTTGATTGCATTGCCAAGATAACAAAAATAAATATTCTGCCTTAGAAACCTTTTCTAAATTCCCTAACAAGTATTTTTATAGAACAGAAAGTTAGATTCCCAAGTTTAAGAAACACCAAACCTAAGATACAACACAATGCTAATATTTACACCGTTTCTGTGTAGTATTACTGTTTTTGAAATTATCAAAATATAAAACCAAAGTAAAAATACTTACCATCCAGTCAGCAATAATAAGAAAGTACAAAGAGCCTGTAGCTTACCTTCTTGGCCACTGAAAGACTGGAATCACTGTCATCTAAAATCTTTATTAGGTAGTCCCTGGCCTTTCTCAGGTAATTTTTGCACTCTTCTTGTTCTTCAGGAGAAAGGGCATCATTTTCAATGTCTTCTGCTTTTCTGTGAAAAATCTACACAAAGAATGCTTTTATGAAACAATTAGGTCTTTAAAATAAAAAAACTTTTAATTCACGTACAACATCTACTTACCAGTGCTAGATTCCAGTAAGAAACAACGTTTTTTATAGATTCAAAAGCAGTCATAGCATCTTCTATATTTCCATTAACTACATCCAATATAGCAAATGTTATGTGTGCTTCTTCCTCGTATTCACCAACTTCAGATGCCTAAACACATTTAGTAATTTTTAGTCCAACTGCCTCTCCCCAGAATATCAAACCCAAGTGATTTCCCAAAGATTTCACATGATCTAATTAACAGCTCAGTCTTCTTTTCTGCCATGTTTTGTGACAGCTAGTGGATTTTTAAAACAAGACAAGGGTCAAAGAGCCAGGCAATTGATATAAGCAGTTTATACTTCTATTTCTTTGTTTATAAACTGGAAATCCACATCTCCAGTTCATTCACAAAGGGATCCTCCATTACCTGAATGTCTGCACTATGAAAATGTTTAAACAGAGGGTCCGTAGGTTCAGGAATACTGCTCTTCTTTTTGATTGTCTTCAACATTGGCAAAACTTTTTTCCAATAATGAACACTTCTGCCTATGTATTCCCGTTGATCATAAAAAGAATTAAGACCGCTGCCCTAAAATAGAAAGTTAGAAGCACATAACCTAAGGAACATAAATAAAAGAATCTAAAAATTCCTTTATAAATGGTCTGAACTGGTTAAAATTTCAAATCAAGGCAAAACAGAATCTCAAAAGTCATAGACCTCACTTTCCAAATGTTGGAATAAACCACCACCTTAATACCAGTGATCATTCTAGACCCAACTTTTAAACACTTTCAATGATACTACCTAATGAGGCACTCCTGTTTTTTAAATGTTGCCGTTTAACACAGCCCAAACCTGCCACTCTGTAAGTGTCATAGTTTGGTCGCAGAGTTGAACATCCACACCTAACCTTGCCATAGAATAGACCTCAAATATTTATAAAGATCTATAATGCCCTTAACCTACAGGGCCTTCTGCTATTGACATGTAAAAAAAATTTGAGGCTGGATAATAATTATCATAACTTAGTTATTAAGTAATAACAATAGCTAATACTTATGTAACATTTACTATGCTAGGCACTATTCTAAATGCTTATATTAACTATTAACTATTTTGTGGCAAGATTAAAAAAAATACATTTCACCTGGCATAAAGCAAATAAGCTGATACTATTTGAACTACAAGGCTCAGTGAAAGTCTGATTTTTAAAAATTAGGTAATGTTCTTAAAAATTCCTACGCTTTAATGAACTCACCGTTTTCTGAAGGCATTTTGCCCAATGTACAAGCAGGGCAGGCTGAAGGCCATGTTTTTCCTGGCCCCTTAGCGTGTTTATGTCATTCTGAACTAGAAGTCGCAATTTTGCTGTGGTTCCAGGTCTAAAAAAAAGTTTAATAAAACTGATTTATAAACACACAATTCAAAACTTACATGTATGTTAATCATCACATGACAAACTCAATCTTCACATGAGAATTAGATACCTAGGCAGTAAGTTTTTAAATAGATTTTTAAGTTAAAAACTTAAAAGGCAATATGTTAAAGGAATGTTTTTATTTTACTACTTACACTGTTTTTCTGTGAATTAGATTACAAACTGCATCCCACCAAGATTTTTGTCTTTCTGTACAAAGCTGTTTACAAACAGGAAGTGGCAAGCATAATGGCTGATAGAAGCTATAGTGAGAACTACATTTCTCCTTTAATTGTAAGTGGCTGGTATATATTACTCCAAGTAGAAATACCTATTTAAAGAAAAATCAATTTAAGTTAGAAAAAAATTAAACAAAATTCAAAATATTTAACTTGTTAAAATCCTTGCTTACTTCAAGATCTAAAATACATATTGATTCGGGTGCATTTGTTTCAAGTCTTGAGGTTTCCTGGGGCAAATGATGAAACAGTTGTTTCAGCCATTTTCGAACTGCAGGTAAGGCAGACAACGAATTCCACTGTAAGCCAAGCCAGGTAAGGTGCTGAAGACTACCATTATGTGCTCGAATGGCACCTGAAATAAAGTACAAAAACTGGCTTGAGGTTTTGGAAATCTTGCTTGTGCCATCAGTTTTGCCAATTACTCACAATAAATGCATCTTAATTTTTTTTTTTTTTAAAGATTTTATTCATTTACTTGACAGAGAGAGAGGGAACACAAGCAGGGGGAGTGGGAGAGGGAGAAGCAGGCTTCCCGCTGAGCAGGGAGCCCAACGTGGGGCTCGATCCCAGGACGCCGGGATCATGACCTGAGCCGAAGGCAGACGCTTAACGACTGAGCCACCCAGGTGCCCCTAAATGCATCTTGATTTTATAATTGCTTTTCTGTATCAGAGCTGGGCAAGTTTTATGCTAAGCAAAGTCTCATGTTCTTACTAAAGGTAGTCACACTTCATGTTTAGGAATTTTAATACCAACAGTTATGATGAAAAGAGCTCCTTTCAAGTCCATCTAAGAAAAAAAAGGTATCACTAGAGCTCAATAAAACACTGTAGTGACAGAAGCCACCCAGTATGAAATCCTGAAACAATGGATTTTCCTTTCAGTAGAGAGTCATTAAAACAATGGGATACCACTACATTAATCCCTTGGGATAGTAAACAGATCTTTTCTTCCATAAGAAATTTAATACCGAAAAGGTTATGGGCTTTTGGAAGCATAGAGGTACAACCTTTATGGCAATATGGCAATTTGCAAGAGACTTAAAGGTGTTCATCAACTTTACTTCAGTAATTCTGGTTTTAGAAAACTCTATGGAAAAATCTGAACTAGAGCTACTTTATTTTTCACAGTGAAAAAACTGAAAACATCTCAGATGCCAAACAGCGAAAAGTGGCAAGTAAATTACGGCTAATTCACATAACAAATTATATTGCCAATAAAGTAGTTATTTCAGAAACCGATAAACAGGGAGAGAATTCATGAAAGAAGACAATCACATGTACAGTATAAACAACTATTTAGAGAAAAACATTCCACCACTACCATTACTAACCCCTCACACCATCCTACCCACCCCCACAAAAATACCTCAAAGGAATACAGGGAAATATTAAGTCATTATTTCTGGGTAATAAGATTATGAGATGATTTCTCTTTTTGCTTTTATTCTCCTAAAATAAAGATACAAAATGTTTACTTTAGAAGATACAACTTACCAACATCATATCTAGCCAAATCATCAGGCTCTGGTGCTTGTACATCAATGTTTCCAATATCATCATTACCAAGAAAAGATCTATCCTTAGATGACTGACTAGAAAACAGAGCATCATACAAAGCAGACTGCCCACTTTTATTGGCGAAGGATTCTACCACCTCTTTTAAAAAATCTTGCTTGTCACGACTTAAATTTAGCAGCATGTGTCCTGAAAAACAAATTATTTCCATCGTTTAAAAAACAGATTTTTACTCACATCTCTCAAGTTTCATTCATATACCCTAAGGAGAAAAAACATGATCAGCTCAGAGCTAACCCTCCAACCCAGCAACCACAACTGAACAAAAAGGGTGCTTATGCAAAAAATGAACACATACAACAGGTTTAACAGTTATCTTTATCTACGTGCTACAGTGAAAGGAAGGAGAAGACCAGAATATGTCTGAAAAATGCCAAAAGTACTTACGGTATTTACATTTTAGATGAAAAGTGTGTCATTTAAGTGGCCACAGGAGAGCAGAGCCAAGCTCAAATTCTCTAATATGATAGACTGATTTTTAAACCTAGCTGGGAAGAATCATCCTTGAAAAAGCTCTTAAAAAGTAATTATTTTCAGGCTGCACTTCCTAGAGATTGATTCCACAGGTTTGGGGTGAGGACTCTATTTTTAAAACACTCCTTTGGGGGCACCTGGGTGGCTCAGTCGTTAAGCATCTGCCTTCGGCTCAGGTCATGATCCCAGGGTCCTGGGATCAAGTCCCACGTCGGACTCCCTGCTCATTAGGTAGCCTGCTTCTCCCTCTCCCACTCCCCTTGCCTGTGTTCCCTCTCTCACTGTCTCTATCAAATAAATAAAAAAACTTGTGGCTCAGTCAGTTAAGCGACTGCCTTCGGCTCCGGTCATGATCCTGGAGTCCCGGGATCGAGTCCCACATCGGGCTCCCTGCTCAGCGGGGAGTCTGCTTCTCCCTCTCCCACTCCCCCCTCTTGTGCTCTTTCTCTCTCTCACTCTCTCTCTCAAATAAATAAATAAAATCTTTAAATATATATATATATATAAAATAAATAAAAAATCTTTAAAAAATAAATAAAAAATAAAATACTCCCTTGGATGAAGTTCTACATGCTAGAACATGGCTAAATCTTGAAAACACTATGGTAAGTAGAAGTGTCAGTCACAAAAGGAAAGACCACGTATCATGTAATTTAATTTATATAAGATGTCCAGAATAAGGAAATCAAAAGTGATAGAATATTAGTGGTTGCCTAAGATGAGGGTTTGGAGGAAAATGGGGAGTGACTGCTAATGGCTATGAGGTTTCATTAGGTGATGAAAATGTTCTAAAATTGATTGCAGTGATGGTTGCACAATTCTGTGAACACACTAAAAACCACTGAGTTGTACACTTATATAAATTATATGATGAACACTTATATAAATTATATGATGAATTATATATAATACGAATTTCATCTCAATTAAGCTGTTTAAGGAAAAAAAAAAAACGCTCTTTGGAATAATTCTGCTGGTCAGTCAGATCAGACTTAGCTCTCCGAAAATTTGCAGACAAGTTTAGGAACGTCCAGATCAAAGACATTAAAACACAGTTCATTTTACTGACACTACGCAAAAACATTTATGACAGCCTTGAAAAGGAAGACGAGAGACAAAAAAAATGCAGTCACTTCTTCAAGGACTGGAAGTCCACCTCCCACAAAAAAAACAAGCTGTGGGATAGAGGAGCAATATATGCTCTGACCAGTAGCCAAACTACAGACAAAGCTTAGAGTAACTTTAATACTACTACTTGCTCTATACAAAGTTCATTCAATTTTATATCAAAACTGTTTCTTAAAGCATTATGTTTCTTCGGTTCATTGCTTGATTCGCTAGCTACACAAACAATGAAGTTTCTGCCTCAGCAAAACCAGATTATATGCAACAGACCTTTAGGATCCATCTCAAATAGTCAAAACTGGGAATAAATTTACAAATTCCAAAAGCCTAACACTATGTAAGTATGTATCTTCCATCTTCTTTACTATGTTGTCAGTTTCATAAGAGATCCATGACTTCTTCATCTTTATATTCCCCATAGCAGTATCTTATAAGTTACTGATGCTAAATGGCTGGCAATCAGTTAATTATTCTTAGTTCAGGAAGTGCTTTAAAATATTGAGAAGGAGGCTCTAGCATAGATAAAGGAGGGGTCAAAGAGTTTCTCCATCCAGGAGCAAAAAGTATCAAACATCTGTTACCTTCTGGAGACATTTTTTCTAATTCTATTATCTCTTGCCCTCATCCAATATGGTAAAGAGAAATAAATGATTATGACAAATTATCTCCTAAAGGACAGAAGATTATCATAAGAAGTGCTCTAAAGAAATTTTCCTTTTTTCTTTTTAAAATAAAATTAAACATTACTATTACCTGATTGGCTCAGACGATCATAGGCCATCATTTCCACCAGATTTTGTCCAACTTCTCCTTTTATTAATTTAATCTTTGGTCTTGGAACCTGGTAATTTTAGAATCAAAAGTCTTAATTTAGTGATACACATATTTCCAATAGTAAGATGTTCCTTTCTACTACACTGTGCTTTTTTGATGACAAACAGCCAATGGTTAAACTGAGTTGGGATTGCAGTTTTCCAAGTGGAAAAAACTGGGAATCAAGAAATTTAGATAATATGTAAAAGGTGCCTGCCTACAAAAACTAACTTCTGAGAAATTACTTTCTAGTGCCATTCTCTAGACAGCCCATTTTCAAAGAGTATGGATAATGTGAGATACCACTGGGATAAAGTGGGACAGCCAAGAGTGCAAAAGGACTCCAAGCCATATCTTATGAAGAAGAACTGGAAAAATGATGAATAAATAGAATGGTGAAAGGAAAACACAATAGCTCAGCTCCCTTCAGATATTAAGAAAATTATCTCATAAAAAGAAGAGTTCAGTGTTTTAAATAGCACCAAAAAAAAAAAAAAACAAACAATAGGTAGCAGGCTGAAAAATGGTATTTTACTCCACATAAAGAAGCATAAAGACCCAAACTATCAAAAATGCAATAGGCTATCTTGAAAAGTAGTGAAAATTCATCACTGAAAATAGTCACAGGCAAGGGTCACTTACTGGAGATATCCTAAAAGTAATGCAGAGTTGGCTGGAATAACTGCTATTAAATTTCACTGACTTTCTTAATTGGTAGTGGGAGTGTAGTTTGGTACAACTTCTGGGAGGTTGGAAAATTGGCAAAAGCTCTAGATTATAAATGCACAGATACACTATGATTCTTCTTTCAAGAATTTATTTCACCCATAAATTTAAACATGTGAACTGTCACAAGTTATTCATTAAAGAATTATCTGAGGGGCGCCTGAGTGGCTCAGTCAGTTAAGCGTCTTAGGCTGAGGTCATACCAGGGTTCTGGGATCAAGCCCCATGTTAGGCTCCCTGCTCCACGGGGAGCCTGCTTCTCCCTCTCCCTCTGCCAACTCTCTCTGCTTGCTCTCTCTCTCTCTCAAATAAATAAAATCTTTAAAAAAAATTATTTGAGGTAGCATATCAAAAAAAGTAAAAGTAACCTAATGTCTTGGCTTTAGGAAACTCGTTAAAAAAACAAAAACAAAAAACTGTGGTATACCCATACACCGGAATGATATGAAACCATCAAAATAAATGAGGATACAATACTCATGCTATCCTTTCTATACTGACATGGAAATATCACCAACATTTATTTCATGAAAATAAGCAAAGGAAATACAATGTACAGAATGTTTCTATCTGGATCTTTTTAAGGGAAGTGGGAGTAGGACAGTGTGTGCTTATCTATTTGCTTGTATATGCATAATATTTACACTCCTTGAAGAACTCACAAGAAATTAGTATCATTAATTCCTCCAGGAAAGAGAAGTAAATGACTGAAAGAACAGAAGTAGGAAGGAGTTTTCACAGTATACCCTTACACACTAAAATTTTAAACCGTATGATACACTTTTTCAAAGACATTAATTTTTCAAAGGAAATATATTCCTTATGAATCTAAAAATTTCCGATTTTGAATTTTAGAAACATTAGTTTGACCTATGCTTTTATCCACATTTTCTAAACATGATGGCAAACTCTGTCTCTGAACATGCTGAAGAGCACACAAAGTGAGAAACAAAATGTGACATTATTTTTTATTTCAAACTGACCTCCATTCATAAAACTGGCCCCTTTTACAGCTCTCACTTGTGACTAGTTATAAATCCACTCAGTTGCATCATCCCAAGTCAACATTTCCTCATCAAAATTAAATGGTTTCAAGACAAACTTTAATGCCTAGCTAAAATGCAGATATACTAATACCACAGCATTCCCTTGATCAAGAGTCTGAAAATCCATTAAAGAAGCTGGCCTAACATGTTTTTTTAGGACCTCTATGCCAGTCCATGCTTCCCCTGTAAGCTTATAATCATTTGATAATTAAGCTTTACAAACACATGATAATATAAAATTCAACCATCGAAGAGGTTTCCATTATTTATCCATTCAATGGAAATGTGTGGTAAGTAAAAGAGAGAATGAGGTAGATGTCTATATGCTGAAACGGGACAATGGAAAAACAATGAAAAAAGCAAGATATTAGACAGCAGATAAAGCATACCTTCACTCAGGTAAAGAGTTTTTAAAAGTAAAGAAAGGGTGTTATTTTATGCTTGCATAAGCAGAAAAACTTCTAAATAGTCAAAAAAACTGGTAACAGTCACTGTTAGAAAAGATATGAGTGAATGGTAGAAAAGATATGAGTGAATGGTTTAAGAAAGAAATTTAGTTTTTACTCTATTAACTTTAAAAATCATATATATTTAAAAATATTTTATAGATTCCAATTTCCATTAAAAATAACTGTCACCTACTTGAAGATTCTTTAAAATATTAATCATAAGAACCTTTTAGTGCCTACATAAATTAGCAAACGTCATTAACTTCACAATTTTCACTAATACATATATTCTTCATGAACCTAATGCTTCTGCTGAGCAAATAGGAACACTTAACATTGTGAGCTGAGTATCAAATGTTTTAAAAAAGATCAATATAATATGAACTAGGAGGAGGAGCCTTCCCTAAAAGTAATTCTCTAGTGAATCTTTTCTTTCCCTCAAGCAAAAGACAGTTCTCTGAAACTACCAATAATTTTTATAAGCCAGGGTGTTGGCAGACTGTTTATTTCTTCTCATTTCAGAATTAACACAAGCTCACTAAAGAAAACATTAAAACTAAAAAAAAACATTGGGAAGGGATAATAGCCAGCATCTCAACATCTAAAAATAATCATTCACATTTTGGCATATTTCCTTCATGTCATGTTCTATGTATAAAGAATGGAACCATGTTTTCAAAGATAAATATATTATTATATGTTATATATATCATTAATGTTATATACATATTAACATATGTGTTTCAATTAACATATTGAAGTGCTTGTGGTAAATACATTCTTCTATCATAGCTTATGTAAACCATCTCCAAAAATTTACTTACTTAGGTTTTCATCCAAGTTATGCATGCACATCTTTTAAATCAAATTTTACCCATATTTGAGACCATTTCCTTATTACAGATTTCCAGAAATGGCAGAGTAAAAAGATCAAACTCTTCAAAGCAGTCTTCCAGTGAAGTCATAGCAATACAGACTGCCACCAACAATGCATCAACGTTATCTATTTCACCTCACCAATACTGTATATATCTTATTATTTTTCAGCTATCAAATTATTTCATTTTGATTTCAAGTCTACAGATTTATTTATATTTTTACTATTTATCAGGACACACCTCCACGTAAAATACAACAATCTCAGTGAAATGTCAACTGCACCCAAAACTAGAAAAAGCTTACCTGAAATGCTATGAGATAGCACAATGTAGCCAGCTCAGAGAGAGCTCGCCATTGCACTTCACTATGCTGACCCATTTTCAGAAGTAGAGAACCAGCATGCATGTAGAAATGTCCTTTTACTTCTAAGAAAGTAGTTGAGAGTTCATCATTTCCACCCACACAAGATTTCACAGACTGAAGAACACTATCAAAACTGCAATATTAAATTGTTAAACAGGTATTAAACCTATTGCATTGTGAATAATCATGGTTTCATGTGTTAATTAAAAATTAAATCAACAAAGGAATTTATTCCAAACTTCATCATCCACATTCAAACTAATAATCCTTATTCTCTATAAATTATGAATCTAGTGTTTATTTTTATTCCACATACTTCCTATACTTCAAGCTTAACGTCTAGAAGGTCTTATTCCAGTTATTTCCAGGCCTCCAATCACAAAAAAGATACAAATCAAATGACAAGATTACAGACTATAGAGAATTTTTCATAACTGACCAAAAACTGGAAAACTATTTTCTAGTTTCTTCTTGATCACATGGTTTCGTTATTTAATTCGAAGTTGGAATTTCTCAAATTAGACACATCATTTTCAAATTATAAGTAAATAACTGATAAGATATTAAGGTTATCAATAACATAATTGCTTTTCTTACTATATAGATAACTACAGGCCTAAATTGTATTCCTCACTATTATTTGTAAATGTACTAATTAGTGCTTTTAAATCTAAATGGTACTCAGAACTTCATTTTGTAAGAAAAGCAACATTTAATAGAAATGTGAAGCATGATTTCTATCTAAGTAGGTTTATAGGAGGTGAGTTCCAGGAACTCCTAGAGTTTCTCAAGACCCCTTCAGGGGATCCATGAAGTTTAAATTATTTTTATGGTACTACTAAAAAATTGTCTTTTCCACCCTCATTTGCTCATGTAACCAAAAATGTTTGCATATATAAGTCATACAAAAGAAAACATCCTAAATATTTTCTAAAATCATCTGAAAGTTAAAATGGTTCTGGGTGCTACCCTTACCCTACTATCTTTGGACACTAAGAAATTCTTCAAGAAAACTACCCTACCCCCTAACACCAGATGGGGAACAAGAATTACTTTTCAAACAAATGGACAGTCTAAACCAGGGATTGATAAATTATTTCTATAGGGCCACATACTAATCTGGCTGCAGACACACAGTGTCACAGCTGCTCAACTCCACCACTGTAGTATATGAGCAGCTATAGATAATACAAAACAAGAGGCACAGCTGTGTTCCAATGAAAGTGTATTTACAAAATCAGGCAGTGAGCCATATCTGGCCTACAAGCTCTAGTCAACCCCTGCTCTAAACTAACATTCTTATACAAATCCAAGTGATGTTTCTGTTCAATGAAATTTATCTTAATAAAGTGGAAGATATAGTCCTCGAAATCAAAATTTAGGAAAACAGAAAAATCGTACATTATGTTATCTTGTTTCTAAGCTAAAACATCAAGAGTTTTCTGAAATACTAGTGATGCTAACTACTTCTACTACAACACCTGACAGATGGAAGTCTATTTTGATTTTCACTCAAGATTATATTGTTTTTGAAATAAAGTATGAAATAGAACATTTTCAGGATTGACTTTATTAAGCATGCCAACATTGGAAACATAACTATAGTAATTTAATCAAGTCTGAATAACAGTTTTCTAAAAATCAAAGTCATACAAAACCAATTATAACATCCCCACAAAAGAAATAAGATTCCAAGTGGTTTATTGTATTAACTATTACCCCTGGGTACGTTACAGAAATAGCGATACAGTAAAGATGTTTACACCAATGAACTGAATCACTACAAAAAGAAAATCTATAATTGACACTGAAGCACTCTCCTTAAGTCAACATACCTTTCCAATAATTCTCTACTTTCTTGCACATCTCTAGTGGAGAGCGTAAGAAGCATAAGGTTAGCATAAGCCAGAAGTAAGTCTTTATGGGTAGTTTGCCAATTACTTTTATCAGACTCCAAACACTGTAAAGATGCCAGATATTCCTATTTTGTAGAAAAAACACTCAATTATAAAACTTTATCAAGCATTACCAAATTAGTTTTATGCCTATAAACTTTGCCCATCCCTATACTTCTAAAACTATATTGTTTACACCAGCCTACAAAAACACCAAAAATATATATATTAGTTTAATTTCTCTCTAATCTACCCATCATAAAACTGAAAACATCCTAGTAAAAAGTTCATTTCACAGTTGCTATACATAAATGAAAGAAACTTAAGTCTTAGAGAGCACTGCTTAAATACAAAGGGATGTATATTAATTGTCTATATAGAAGTGTAGAGACCCAAGAGTTTTTACCTACCTTAAGGGTCTGTACAACACATGAATTCCATTCTAAACTTGAACGCAGGGCTATGTTTTTCTCTGCCTCATGGCAGTGGCCCACAGCATCCTTCAATCTTTTATTTGAGCGATACAGTTCTACTAGTCGGATGTTCACATAGACATCATCAGGTCTTGCATAAAGTTCTGACTGAATCAAGTCAAAAAGTTTATTCCATCCATCTTCACCTTTGCAATCTAAAAGCTGTTCCTATTAAAAAAGCATCATTCATTTAGAGAAATACCAGTGCAAGTTTAAACACATCATGGTTCCTATGAGCACCATTCCACCGTGTCTAGCTGTAGTAAATTACCACCAGAAGTACCACCTTATATACCCCAACTCTCATAAGAGAGAGCAGCTCCCAGACCAGAAACTAAACCTCAAGAAATTTATGTGGAGAGAAACATCTAGGATTATACAGTAGCAACAGTTGCATATACACCTCACAGACTGCAAGGACTACTGCCCCACATCCCTGTACACCCCAGTCACCACCAAAAGCCTAGGCCTCCCCAGTCAATCCTCATACCAGGGTCCTTATCCCCAAATTGTTCTGCACCTCCCTAAATCTGACTCAAACCCCTACCCCCTCTGCTCCCACTTTAAAGCTTCTACTGTTTTTGCTATCTTAGAGTCTTCACCATCCAGCCTTAACTAAATGGAGTGTTATCTCGAGATAACCCCCGTTACTTCTCTGCCATGGTGGTCTTTTCTCTGCTAGCCTATCCACAAGTAGAGAAGTGGGGTCAGTATACTGCTCACCTCCAAATCATATGTCCCCACACACACCTGCTTATAATCCTGTCTTCCAAAGGACATGCTATCCAGCTTTTCCATTCATTCCTCCTCATGAGCAACTGGAATAAAACACTCCCTTCCTAACAGCCCTCGCTAGTATTAGCAATTGGAAAGATGTACAAAGATACCCAGGAGCCTGGCTACTCGGTTCGGTAATTACCTCATCTTCATGGCTTTGCTCTATACTCCAGTCTCAGCCATCCACTTAGCATTGACTTGGGTCTTCAAAATCTGTATTTTGGTCATACTACTTAGATCATTATACCTCTCTTATTCTTTCACCTCACTGTGGGCACACATGCCCTCACTGCCACATATATTTGTCTCTACCACACGGAAAGAAAGCTTCTGTCAAGGGGCGCCTGGGTGGCTCAGTTGTTAAGCGTCTGCCTTCGGCTCGGGTTATGGTCCCAGGGTCCTGGGATCGAGCCTCACATCTGGCTCCCTGCTCTGCCGGAAGCCTGCTTCTCCCTCTCCCACTCCCCTTGCTTGTGTTCCCTCTCTGTCTCTTTCTCTGTCAAATAAATAAATAAAAAATCTTAAAAAAAAAAAAAAAGCTTCTGTCAATATACTCATATCACCAGGTTTTAATTTTCCATAGAACACATATTTTCCTTCACTATCAAGCTAAAATGTCCTAATTCCTAAAATCCATAATTACTGTTTGCTTACTAATCCCCTCAATTAATTCCCTCTACCTTTCCTTAGAAAAACCCTACCAACTGCTTTCTCTGTGCCTATCTATACACTAACAGTTGAGCAATAGGGGGTAGGGCATTCGGGAATTTGGGGAGATCACAACCAGGCTAACTAACTTTCATAATCTCAAGTCTCCAAACTGGTAATGCCTAGAACAAAATTATATGTGACCTCTATCTATATAGATTCAAATTCTCCATTCCCTGAAAAGGTTTACTTCATACTCTTCATCTTTCCTCACATTTCCCACTTTCCTTCAACACTTTCAACTTATTATCACAATTCACTCTTCACTGAGAAAACTGAAGCCATCATTCCACTTTACCTTATCAGCTTGTACTCACCTTTTCACTGCTCCCTCCCCACAGCAAAGACCAAGCTCTCCATTAGTGCTGTTTCACTGCCCTCTCCTTCACCAATCTCTCTCCTTCTTTTACATCATTTCCATAAACTTACACTTGGCCTTTCTAGATCTTCAAAAAAAACCTAGACTTTACTTACAAGTTTACGTATAAGTTTACTTATAAGTTTAAAAATTTGTGGGTCGCCTGGGTGGCTCAGTTGGTTGAGCATCTGACTCTTGGTTTCAGATCAGGTCAAGATCTCAAGAGTCATGAGACTGAGGCCCGTGACAGGCTCCGTGCTCAGTAGGGAGTCTGCTGGAGTCTCTCTCTCTCTCTCCCCCTCTGCCCCTACCCCCATTGGCACACTCACGCTTTCTCTAAAATAAATATTCCAAAAAAAATTTGTAAGTAAAAGATCAACACATTCATGGGTGCTTTTCAAAAACTCTACTCTCATATTCAAGAGAAAAAGCCCTCTCACCAATATTTCCATTAAAACAAATACCAAAAAACTATTTACCTTAAGTAAGCCTTAACTTTTAGGAGAAACAGAATTATTCTACTAAACAGTTATGAGTCTCATGCATTTCAATTTCAAGAAATGGGGGCAAAATCTAATATAAGGAAGGTTTAGCTTTAGACAACAGTGTATTTTTTTAAGTTTTTATTTAAGTAATCTCTACACCCAACATTGGGCTCAAACTCACAACCCCAAGATCAAGAGTTGCAGGCTCCGAATGAGCCAGCTAGGCACTCCTACAGACCAGTGTCTTTAAAGTTACTAAAGAGGGGCGCCTGGGTGGCTCAGTCAGTTAAACGACTGCCTTCGGCTCGTGTCATGCTCCCAGGGTCCTGGGATCGAGCCCCGCATCGGGCTCCCTGCTCGGCGGAGAGCCTGCTTCTCCCTCTCCCTCTGTCTGCCGCTCTGCCTACTTATGCTATCTCTGTTAAATAAATAAATAAAAATCTTTTAAAATAAATAACTAAATAAAGTTACTAAAGAGGGGCGCCTAGGTGGCTCAGTTAAGCGTCTGCCTTCAGCTCAGGTTATGATCCCAGAGTCCCAGGATGGAGCCCTGCATCCGGCTCCCTGCTCAGCAGGGAGTCTGCTTCTCCCTCTGCCACTCCCTCTGCTCATGCTCTCAAGCGTGCACATTCTCTCTCAAATAAATAAATAAAATCTTTAAAAATAAATAAATAATAAAGTTACTAAAGAAAACCAACATCCTTCAGAAGCAGCTATTTTACAAGAAAAATAAACTCCTATCAATATATATGTTCCTTAATGTCCTTGTCATCAAATGAATTGGATTGTCAAGGCCAACAGGAAATTATGTTTGAGGCTAACACAAAGGTAAAGAAATCTATATACTTAGACCTGACATTTTAGATTAATATTTAAAACCCAGCTGCTTATTACAGAAACAAGAAAACTTGATATTACTGGTATTTACCTGTAGGGTTTTTAAAAATATCTCAGATTTTAAAATCTGTGCACACTTGTTCATATGAGATTTATAACAGCCAAAAACAACCAAAATAGAAACAACCAAAAGGTCCATCAAAAGTCAATGGTTAAACTGTGGAAATACTACTCAGCAATAAAAGGAACAAACTACTGATACACCCAACTTGGATTGATCTCAAAGGCATTATGCTGAACGAAAAAAACCTAACATCAAAAGGCCACATATTGCATGATTCCATTTATATAACATTTTGAAATTACATAACTGTAAATATGGAGAACAAATTAGTAGTTCCCAGAGGTTAAGAATAATGGGAAGAAGGGTAGATAGGACCATAAAAGCATGAAGGGAGATGTTTGTGATGATGGAACAGTTTTGTACTTTAATTGCAGTGGTGGTTACACCAATCTATACATGTGATAAAATGAAAAATTATACACACACATTACACCAATGTCAAATTACTGATTTTGATATTGTACTGTAGTTATGCAACATGTAGCCACTGGGGAAAGCTGGGTGACATATACAAAGAACCTCTCTGTACAATCTTTGCAACTTCTTGTGAAAAATGTAATTACTTTAAAGTAAATTTTACTGTGGTGCCTGGGTGGCTCAGTCGGTTAAATGTCTAACTTCAGCTCAGGTCATGATCTCAGGGTCCTGGGATTGAACCCTAAGTCAGGCTCCACACTTAGAAGCTGAGTCTGCTTGCCCCTCTGCCCCTCCCCCCACTCATGCTCACTCACTCTATCTCAAATAAAATTTAAAACAAAATAAAAAAAAATTCTTATATGTATATGTACACAAACATGTATAATGGGGGTGGGGGAGCCATTAAAAAACAATATACAGTTGACCCTTGAACAATATACGTTTGAAATGCAGTTCTACATTTTTGTAGAATTGTTTTCAACAAATATAGTAGAGTACTGTAAATATATCTTCTCTTCATAATTTTAACATGTTCTTTTCTCTAATTTAAGCGTAGAAATACAGTATATAATACATACAGCATACAAAACAAGTGTTAATTGACTGTTTATGTTAAGGCTTCCAGTCAACAGTAGACTATTAATGAAGTTCTGGGGAGTTAAAACTTCTATGCAGGGGCTCCTGGCGCTCAGTCCGTAGAGTATGTGACTCCTGATCTTGGGATTTTGAGTTTGAGCCCCACACTGAATGTAGAGATTACTTAAAAAAATAAAGTCTTAAAAAAAAATTACATGAGTATTTTCAACTGCACAGGGGGTCGTGGCTCCAGCCCCCACATCATTCAAGGGTCAACTACACACTTAAAATTCTGTTTGCTTAGAAAATTTGGAAAGACTTTCTCCAAGAGTTCCTTAAGTAAACTATATTTTACTTAGTAAAAAAATAACCATTAGAATTGGTCATTGGTCAAAAATTAGCAAAAACTTCCTATTATTTTTTAGTAATTATCTATAACATACTGGAGAAACTATTATCTTTTACTTGAAAATTTCACTGTCCCCTAACACAATCCTTTCCATATTTTTTCTTAGAATGATTTTATTTTTAAGTAATGTCTACACCCAACGTGGGGCTCAAACTCACAATCTGGAGATCAAGAGTCACATGCTCTACCGACTGAGCCAGGAAGGCACCCCAATGCTTTTTTAGATAACAGTTCTTAAAAACCTGTATAATAAACCTAAATTGTCATCCTTTTCACCCAATGAAGCAAAAATTCTGTATCAGACAGAGCTCAATTTAAATCCTAACTCTAGGGGAGCCTGGGTGGCTGAGGCCATGATCCTGGGGTCCTGGGATCGAGCCCCGCGTCAGGCTGCCTGCTCTTTGGGAAGCCTGCTTCTCCCTCTCCCACTCCCCCTGCTTGTGTTCTCTCTCTTGCTGGGTCTTTCTCTGTTAAATAAATAAAATCTTAAATAAATAATAAATAAATCCATCCTAATTCTACCATCTAGCTACAAAACCGTAAAATCCCTGTATTAATCATTTCATAAGGGTAAATGTGATACTATTTGTATAACATAATAGTGCCTAATAAAACGGCATACGCTCAGAAAGGTTTTGAAGGAAAAAATTTTGTTCTGCCATTTCTTATAGATAAAATTGACATATAACATTGTATTATTTAAGGTATACAACATAACGATTTAAGATATGTATATAGTGACATGATTTCCACAGTAAGTTTAATATCCATCACTTCATATGGTTATAAATTATTCTTTTCTTGGGGTGCCTGGGTGACTTAGCTGGTTAAGTGTCTGCCTTTGGCTCAGGTCATGATCCCAGGGTCCTGGGATCAAGCCTCATGTGAGGCTCCCTGCTCAGCAGGGAGCCTGCTTCTCCCTCTCCCCTCAGCAGGGAGTCTGCTTGTCCCTCTGCCTCTGCGCCGCCCCCCCCCAGCTCATGTCTCAAATAAAATCTTTAAAAAAAATTTTTTTCTTGTGATAAGAACTTTTAAGATCTACTTGCTCTCTTCACAACTTTTAAATATACAACACAGTATGGTTAACAATAGTCACTATACTATACATCATATCCCCAGAATTTATTTTATACACAGAAGTTTGTACCTTTTGACCACATTCACCCATTTCCCACCAACTCCCAAACATACTGGTTTAAGGTTTGCTAGTGAAAAGTCATTTAAATTCCAAATATTAGAAATGGTTGTGTCTTAAGTTTTCCCCACTGTTTTTACTATGCTTTGTTCTGTTTTTACCTTTAGTTTATAAACTGCAGGACTTCCTGGGAAAAGTTTAGCTGCTCTCTCAACCCAATATTTTGCTCTTCCATCAGTAACATCATTTTTACAAAGCAATTCTGCAATCTTCAAAACAAGATCTTTTTGTGTTGGGTTTAATTCCACTGAACGCTGAAACCAGAAAATAATAAATTAGGATTCCTAAAGTACCTACACTCACATATAAATAAAAGTTAAAAATTTATCATTGTCCACATTAAAAACTTTTCCACATGACAACATGGTATTTCAAAGTTGTTTAAATCAAACAAAGTGTCTTGGAATTTTTGCCGATTAAATAAAAATTATGTTTTTATTAGTAAGTGCTCCCCAAAAAGAAAGAAAACCACACTTATAAGAACAGCATTTCAAACCATGTTAGTCTTAGAATTTATAGGTGTTAATCTTTTACAAGTGCTAACTTAATGATTAAATTACAGTGCACTTTGGGCCAAATAATTAAAGATCTATTCTAATCCATGTTGCTTAATAGTACTATCATACCAATGCTTATTTTTATGACATTCATAAAATATATTTAAATTATTTATTATATAAATTACTCTGGGCATCATGTGAGTGACAATGCAAAGGCTATATTTTAATCTTAAACAGTTTACCTTGTAACATTCAACAGCTTTGTCTGTATTTTCCTCCACTTCATGAAGAAGACCAAGAAATCTGTGAGCTTTAGGATCTCTTTCTTGCACATTAATATATGCAGATATGTATCTGTTTAAAAATAATAATACAAAAATAATCTTTAAATTATCACATTCAGAACTGTATTTAATCCCAACCTGAAGAGTACATCTTAAACCAAAGCAACCACTAAACTAATCCATATTGTTATTCTAAGTATTGACTACCACTAAACTAGAAATGCAGAAAACTCAAAAGCATCCATAAAAAGAATAAACACATACATACAAAATTGACAATATACTTATTTTACCATTAAATACTACACTTACCAAATGTTTCTTCTAATGCTACCGATACATAAGAAATGAACGCATAAATTACTTTTTCCTGATTATATTTTGATAAAGCACTACCATTTTACATAGAAATTAAAAAAAGATTATAGTAAATATTTACTTTTTATTGTACTATTCACCTTTTAAACAAGAAAATAATATTTAATAGTAGTACTGTTCCCAGCTAAAACAGAGCAGAGGAAAAATTACTAAAAAACTAACAAATGTAGGTAATTTCCACTTCTTAATTCAAATTAACAGATAGAAAATAAGCATCTCCTAGGCTCAATAAAGATTATAAATAAATAAATATGTAAATATATATTTTAACCAAAGACCAAAACTGGAAGAAAAGGGGTCATATTAAAAAGGAACAAGGTTGTTGGGGCACCTGGGTGGCGGAGATGGTTAAGCTTCTGCCTTCGACTCAGGTCATGATCCCAGAGTCCTGGGATCGAGCCCCGCATCGGGCTCTTGGCTCGACGGGGAGCCTGTTTCTCCCTCTCCCTCTCTCCCTGCTCATGCTCTAGCTCTGTGTCTCAAATGAATAAATAAAAATCTTAAAAAAAAAAAAAAAAGGAACAAGATTGACAGCCCCATTGCTGCTAGTTAAATAAAGGTGTTACCATTTCCTTACATATCAGCAGTTCCATCTTCCCATAAATGCCTTTAACCTACCTGCCTGCCTGCCTGCCTCCTTCCCTCCTAATTTCCTACTTCAAGCCACTCTAAATCAGGAAATCAGATCACCAACCTTCTTGGCCTTAGAGGTGAGACAAAGCCTCAGAGTGTTACCTATTGAGTCAATTGAAGATCTTTTACACAAGCTATTCTCCTGCCCAGAAATCACAGTTTAATTTTGTATTCACTGGTATTTTTCCAGCTGATTAAAGTACCAGATATCTAACCAGGAAAAAATTAAAAATAAGCATGGTTCTCTTTTATTCCTTTGAAGTGTTTTAAACCAAATGATTTCTTGCCCTAAGTATAAACAAGCAGCAGGCAGGCAGAAAATACTCATTCTAGGCTCAACCTCCATGGAATTGAGGCTAGTCCTTTATATCAGTCTGAAGTGATATAATACCTTATTTCCAGGACATACTTAGGAAGAACTGCTTTTAAAAAACATAGTATTTTCTCACCCATTTCAAGTAAGAATATGAGGGGGGGGGGAAATGACTTTAGAAAACTAAAGCATGTTTACAGTTTGGTACTTACTTTTTAGCAAGATCATATTCTTTAACTTCATAGTATAGCTTTGCAAAATAGAATCCTTTCATTGACTTCTAAAAAAAAAAAATTAAGGGTTCTTTTAACTTTTCATATTTTGAATTCTGTGAAGTTTTCACAGAACTAAAAATCTGCCCCAATAAGGTATTAACATACTTGATTTTTGTTCACCTAAAAGGTAGGAAAAAAACTGCCTGCAGACATGCATGTATGTTGTAAAAGTCATGATTCCATGTTTTATAATTCTCATCATAAAACTAAAAATAAATTTAAGAACAGCAAGACAAGACAACATCAAAAATTAAAAATTTATATCAGCAGATCATGACAGACTACGAACTCTGAGAAAGAAACTGAGGGTTTTAGAGGGGAGGGGGGTGGGGGGATGGGTTAGCCCGGTGATGGGTATTAAGCAGAGCATGTATTGCATGAAGCACTGGGTGCTCTATGCAAACAATGAATCATGGAACACTGTATCAAAGACTAATGATGTAATGTATGGTGACTAACATAATAAAATAAAATTAATTAAAAAAAATTTAGGGGCACCTGGGTGGCTCAGTCGGTTAAGCGTCTGCCTTTGGCTCAGGTCATGATCTCAGGGTCCTGAGATTGAGCCTGCTCAGCGGGAAGCCTGCTTCTCCCTCTCCCACCCCCCCTTCTTGTGTTCCCTCTCTCGCTGTCAAATAAATAAAATCTTTAAAAAAAAAATTTTTTTTAGGGCGCCTGGGTGGCTCAGTTGGTTGGGCGACTGCCTTCGGCTCAGGTCATGATCCTGGAGTCCCAGGATCGAGTCCCACATAGGGCTCCTTGCTCAGCAGGGGGTCTGCTTCTCCCTGTGACCCTCCCCCCCTCTCATGTGCTCTCTCTCTCTCTCATTCTCTCAAATAAATAAATAAAATCTTTAAAAAAAAAATTTTTTTTTTATCAGCAGCACGCCTGGGTGGCTCAGTCAGTTAAGCGTCTGCCTTCGGCTCAGGTCATGATCTAAGGATCCTGGGATCGAGTCCCATGTCGGACTCCCTGCTCAGCAGGTAGCCTGCTTCTCCCTTGCCCTCTGCCCTGCTCATGCTCTCTCTCTCTCTCTCAAATAAATAAAATCTTACAAAAAAAAAAAAAGAATTTATATCAGCACAAAAGCTGAAAAAACACATGGTGCCACTCTCTCATTTTACAGATAACTAAACAGACAGAAACCTGCTTTCTTAGGGGAGGTGAGGTATACTAAAAACTTCTCTTGCCATATTCAAGTCTTTATGGGCAAGTACTTCCAACCCATTAAAGCATGGGGGACTCTCTGGTCCAGGTACTGTTTGCTGTTCTCTCTACAGATCAGTATTTTACACTAAAGGAATTAAAAAGGCAGAAATAAAAGCTGAATTCTTCCAGTAATAAACCAAGTTTACACCCTGGCCTTTTATTTCCGTGAGTTCCAAAGTTTAAGATCCTGGGACACACCAGATGTTATACACACATGATAAGAGTACACAGCCATCAAACATCTAATTTTTGAAAACTATAACAAGGACACAGAAAAAAAATATATTAAGTGAAAAAAGAAGTCTACAAAGCAGTATGTTTTCATTTATTATTTCTAAAAAAATGCAGATTTAGGATTTGTTCATTGTGCCTACAATAGGCACTGGGAAACGAGTAGTACACACAAAAAAATCTGCCTTCAAGAAGCCTGCATAGAGGAGCAGAAAAGAGTGCTATTTTATAGTATTTCATCAATTATTTACAGTACACCACATTTTAACAAAGCTAAAATCAGTATTCATCTCACAAATCAGAGGAATCCTAACATTGTTGCCTGTTTAGTTGGCAGAGTTTCTTCTTTCTTAGCTGGTAATGGTGGTAGTGCACAGACAATGGCATCACGTTTTATAAAATAAGAGAGTTGTCAGGAAAGGTCTTACTACTAAGGGGACATTTGATCAGAAACCTAATAAGGTGAAGAAGTGATTATCTAGGGTAGACTAGACAGCAGATGGACTATAATAATTTAATCCCCATTGTTTAGTGTTTCAATTTTTCCTTTTAAATCAAACCTACAGAAAATACTCTTAATCACACTCATCTTAAAACACTCTTTCTCATGACTTCAGAGATAACTATGCTCTCTAGTTCAACTTCTACCTTAGTGGCCACTCCTTCTCAGGCTCTTCCTCACACTGAATTCCCCAGGAGTCAGTTCTAATTCCTCTCCTCTTTCAGGAGATCTCCTCTGTGACAAATACTGAATCTCATGTACGACTACTGACAGTATTTTGACTCTCAAATATGTATTTTTGGCTCTCATTTTTCCTATGCTCTAAACTTATGTGCAAAATATCATCACCAAAATCTGTCAGTACTACCTTCTACATTACCTCAGTCCACCCATTTTTCTACATCTCTGTTCCTATTACCAAAGTCCAAGCCTGCTATGATCTCCCTCCCTTCTGAAAAGGCTAATTCCTTCCTGTTTCCCTCTATATATTTTTCTTCCAGCTAATTTATTCACCAAAGGTGTAGCATTTGAAACATAACACAAACCATGTTATGCCTTTGCTTAAAATTTAAAATCCTTCCATGGCTTCCATTATGTGTTGAAAGACCCAAATTTCCCACCAAAGACTAGCATGACATGGCACCTGCCTAGCTCTCCAACTTTACTTCATCTGGCCCCTGCCTGCTATGGTTTAGCCAGTGACTAAAACCAGAATGCATTTCTCCAACTGGGGTAGTCCCAAGGAATCTGTTTTAAACAAAGGCCAACAGCTGGTATTGATATGATATTTCTATCCAGCGCTTTCAATGTCAGAGTGAGAAATTCAATGAATGTATGTAAATGAAAGAGAAACTATGGTTCCCTTAAACAAATGCCTCATCATCTAGAGACACACGTGAATGAGCGAACAAGATTCTCACTATCCTAGTGAAACCACAACTAAGGGGCAATCAGTTTGAGAGAATCACCTGACCAAAACAAAACAAAACAACCCTTACTGAGCAAGACTCTAGTCTGGCACAGTGAAACAGTTAAGTGTAGAATAAGTGGAAGGCTCCCCATGCCCCTCACCTCCCTCTCACTCCCCTCTACACCTTGGGGAGGCAGGGTTGGGTCCAGTGTATCTGTTAAAAACATAACACAGGTATTCTAAGTGAGTAAAGAGAGAAAACTCCAGTGAAGCAAAAGGGGAAAAAAAATCTACGTTTTCAGTAGGAATACAGACCCAGAAAAAGTGGGGTCTCCCAATCCTTCTGATATTTTTAAGTTTTGAGCAGATGCCAGAAAGTTACCATACTGACTTTGGGCAGTCAAGTCCTCAGAAACCTCACTTTTTGGCTCTTGATGTCCCTTCATCCTATCTTTGTGAAGCAAAATTCATCTATCACTGAATTTGTTCATGCACTAATAGAGCTAGGTTTACTTTTTATCCATTTATGGGGGGGGGGGAGGAGAGCAGGAGCACACACGGAGGAGGAGCAGAGGGAGAGACTCTAAAGCAGACTCCCTGCTGAGCACAGAACTCCATGCGGGGTTCGATCCCCGGACCCATGAGATCGTAACACCTGAGGCGAAACCAAGAGTCAGATGCCCAACCACCTGCACCACCCAGGCACCACTGAAGGCTTTCTGCAGCTTCCCCAAATTGTCACTTATCTGTGTTTGTGAGATAAAGCTTCAATTTTTATGCAGTAAAAACTATCTTTACTGTTCATTTCTTTTTTCAGATTATATGGTAAAAAAAGGTCTTTTTCATATTTTCTTTCAGATTCTCTAAAATTACCTTTTAAGTATGAAACTTATTTTGGTAAACATTGTAGGCAAGAGCCCTATTTTTAAAAATAAATCATTAAACCAAAAAAATCATTAAACAAATGTCAATTGTTCAAGCAACATCTACTGAATAATCCGTATTTCCTCCATTGCTTTGGAATGTGACTTTGCAATGCCACATAAATCTATGTTACGGCATCTTAACTTAAAACCCCTTTCTCCTACTACACTTCTTACTCCTCATCAAAGAAGGTGTTAAATAAGCAGATATGTTTTAAGTCATAAAAGTCTGTATGAAGATTAAAAAATTTAATTTAAAATTATAGAAAAGTTGGGGCACCTGAGTGGCTCAGTTGTTAAGCAGCTGCCTTCAGCTCAGGTCATGATCCCAGGGTCCTGGGATCAAGTTCCCTATCAGGCTCCCTGCTCTGCAGGGAGCCTGCTTCTCCCTCTCCCTCTGCCTGCCGCTCCCCTTGCTTGTGTGCTCTTTCTGTCAAATTAATAAATAAAATCTTTAAAAAATAAAATAAAATTATAGAAAAGTTGGGGCGCCTGGGTGGTTCAGTTGTTAAGCAGCTGCCTTCGGCTCAGGTCATGATCCCAGGGTCCTGGGATCAAGCTCCACATTGGGCTTCCTGCTCAGCGGGGAATCTGCTTCACCCTCTCCCACTCCCCCTGCTTGTGTTCCCTCTCTCGCTGTGTCTCTCTCTGTCAAATAAATAAATAAAATCTTTAAAAAAATAAATAAAATTATAGAAAAGCATAAAGTTGACAAGACACACACACACACAAATCTGTTTGTGTATCACACTATTTCCTCTCTTAAGGAACCAATACTGCTAAATAATTTTCACAAGTCCTAATTGACAAAGTGAGGGAAGAAATAGGGCAATGATGGGACATGGATGTGGATAGTTATTCAGGCCAAACAAGAGCATGACTGTGTTTTTAGGCTAAGGAAAAACAGCCAGTTGAGGACAATCTGAAAGAAAAGGGCGAAATAAGGGCTCAGGAAACTGAAAGGGATGAGAACAAGAAAAGATGTCAGGCAGGTACCTTGAAAAGGAAATATACAGATGACAGAAGAATGAATAGGGCCTGGTGGTTCACTGCCAACAGTCTCAGTTTACCAATGAAGAAGTGAGGTAGTTTGTTGAGTAAACATATGAAGAATTTGACGTGGACAGTGAAGTTCTAAAACAGCGACTGAAGTGATCAAGGACAGGCGCATGGCCCACGAATAAATGCTCACATATATGGTCACATAATCTCCAACAAGGGTGCTAACAA